CAGCCACAGATGTGGCTGGAGATGGTTCCCACGCAGGGCTGTCCCCTCCTATGCAGCACGGGGACCTCCTTTCTCCATCCCCTACCTGGGGGGTTAAGCCAGAGCTCCAAAAACCAGGGAGCTCACACAGAGACCACTCAGTCACCAACCACGGCTGCCAGCTCAGGGTTTCTCGGTGTCCTGCAGGCCACATCACGCCTGCCCGGCTCCCAGCAGCATTTCCAGGCTCCCCGTCACTGCGATATTCGCGGCGCGCTGAGTCAAGAGGCCAGGGCAGGCGGCAGGTGGGCTGGGACGTAGACAAGCTTTCCGAATTGTGTGCCACACGCAAGCAGAGGCTTACTTCACCCCGCAGCAATGAGCGCAAGCAGGGGCTCCTGGGCCGAGCGGGGACATGGGCTTGACCCCTCTCCTGAAGTCCCCCAGGCAGGAGATTGAAGATTGCACGGCTTTAAAATGTCCTTGTCAGGCGTAGAAAACACAGCCAGGCACCAGAGATGCGGCCAGCTTGATTCAGGGTGTCTCCGAGCTCCCACTGGGATCTCCGCCAGGCACAGAAATATGGTTTGTGCAGCCGCACCTGGTGCACGCTTGGCGATGTCCCCATTGCGTGGTCACGCATCAGCTCCCAGCACCAGCACCCAGCATCACCACGGCTCCATTCAGCACCTGGGGTTCCCCCACCCTCAGCATCAGCCCATTGGGTACCCGGAGCTGAAGCCTTCCCACTGGCATCGAGAGCTGCCAGATGTGGGCAGGACTCAGGGATGCAAACACCCAGCCCCACCGGCATCTTCAGGGTGCTATTTTTGGGCAGTGATGGGATAACTCTCCTCCAGGCTGGCAGGGAGAGAGAGAAACAGAGAAACCCACGCGGGGATGCCTGGGCTTTGCCCAGTGCCTCACTGGGAGCTGAGCCCAGTTCAGTTTCTCCGGGGATGGCACCATGATGGGGACACCACGGCGGAGCAGCATCGCCGCTGCGGTTCCCTGGCACATCAGGACGCGAGGTCGGCACAGGGCAGGAACAGTGACCTCCTGGGACAGGACGTGACGGGCTGGCAGAAGCACTCACGGACCTTGGCACCACATCAGTTGCCTGCCGTGCCTCTGGCACCCAGAAGCGATGACAAACCCAGGGCATCGCTCTGCCTTTGGTGGCTCTTTTTCCAGTCCTGCGCCAGCAGGAGCTTACCTAGGACAGGCTGAGCCCATGCCAGCCCCACTGCCCACAGCTTGCCTGGGGGTCACCTCCACCGAGGGTAGGGGACAGCAGCTGGGGACACCAACAGGGCTCTGTCACCACCTGCCCTGCCTGGTCCCACTTTGGGACAGGGAAAAGCTGCAAACAGCACCTTGCGTTCTGCCCTCCTTCATCAAATGTCAGGTGCTCAGCAAGTCCCAAAATGATCCAAGCAACCCCTGCTATTTTATATCAGATTTTCCCCTGAGGGTGGGGGAAAACACAGCCACACAGCTACATGTTTCGCTCCCCGAGCACTGCCCTGGGCCAGCAGGCAGGGAGTTGGGATGCTCTGCAAGAGAAGGAACCAGCCCAGCCCCGGGCTCCACCAGTACCAAGGGCAGATTTCTTCACCGTGCCAGCTGCTTGTTCAGGTGCTTGCTCACCTTACAAAGGGACAAACATCCCAGCCCAGAGTCCTGACTTGCTGACCTCTGTGCCTGCAGCCCCAGACAGTACCCAGTATGTCCCAGTTAGCCCAGCCCTACTGTAAAAAACACACCACTGGCCCACTACAGCCTGGGCACATGCTCCTGGTCTCACTGGACCTTCAGCATCCCCTTACCTCCACCAAGGCCTCCTCCGGTGTTCTCAAGGCTCCTCTACCAGGATCAATCTCTCTGCTTCCCTTTCCCAACTCCTCCCTTGCATTTTCACATCCACACCCCTCATTTCTTCACCCTAAATGTTTCCACCTGCACCCTCACCTGCCTCCATCCCCTCCTCCTTTCTGCACCCTCCTCCCCTTGCCCCATGCAGAGTCCTTGTCGTGCTCCACCCCATTGCGGTAGAGCAGGGAATGTGTTTTTTTTGGCTGAAAGCATCAAAGCTGCTGGGGACCAGCGTGATGTCCTGCACCCATCCCAGCTCTGGTGGCACCAGGACCAGCCATGGTGTGGATGGGGCAGCTGGTAGCCTGCAGAGGTCCCCAAGGCCACTGTGGTGGTGGCAGGCACCCTGAGGGCTGTCCCTCCCCAGGATGCTTTGAAGCCAAGGGGAGCAAATCCTAGACAAAGAGCAGCAGGTTTTGGAACCCCCCCCCCCAAAAAAAAAAAAACTCTTCCCAGGCACCTTCATGTGGGACCCTCCCTGCTGCGCCCCCCTCCCTGCAGAGTTTGTTGGATCAGAGGGGCTACAAGGCATCGGAGCATCCCCAGATCCCAGTGACTCATGCCAGGCCCCAGTAACTGGGAAAACAAACTGGTTTAGGGTTGTCCAACAGTGGTTCAGCTGCACCCTTCACTGCTGCCACCAGAGAGCATCATGGGGACATTTAATCGAGCAGTCCTCACCCTAGATCCATCCCAAACCCTCCCGATACAGAGCCAGGCTGAGCCTGCTGATGGCTTTTGCCATGAACACATGCAGGGAGCTGGTTCCCATCTCCTGGGGGTTAGGAGGTGGCACAGATCCCAGGGGATCTGGTGACAGCAGAGGGGGGCTGTGGTCCTTAGGAAGGAGGAGAACCTCCCCAAAAACAGTGGTCAGATGGTGTGGGGAACACCCCAAGATCCCACGACATTCCTCCCCAGCTCCCGCAAAGCCGTCGCGATCCCACAGGTGGCAAAATGCTGCAGGAACGCTCGGGGACATCCAGCCCCAAGTGCCGGTGATGTTGAGAAGCTGATTTAATTTCACAACCTGCAAAGCCCTTGGGGAGGAAACGGGGCCAGGACGCTGGGGCTGGCTCTTTGCTATCCCTGGCACTCTGACTTCAAAAATGAAGCGCCACAGGCGTGCACAAATCCACATCCTCCTCACATCCCACCCTGCCACCTGGATGGGCAAAAACACCCCCGGTGTCCCCTTTCTGCTGCTGCTCGTGACTGGGGTCACCTCCTCCTTGCAGGGCGCGGGGAAGCTGACGTCCTTTGCACCCCAGCACAGCAGCCAGCGGGGACTGGGAGGAACGGGGAGGGGGGGGGAGCAGCCAGCAGCCGGTTATCTGATCCCGGCCGCTCCGGTGTAAACTTAGCATGGCCTTTCGGAAAGTTCTTGCTGTGGCAAAACACGCAGTAAATCACTGCTCCGGATGCCAACAATATTTCGAGATTAGCAAATCTTACAGAGCTCCTTGAGTAAACGCTTGGTTCAGGGTCAAGGTTTGCAGCCCTGTCAAGTGTAACTGGGGGGCTCTTGCTGTGCCGGTGCACCCCGGCCCCCCGGGACTGTGCTGAGCTGCAAATGCTTCTTGCTCTTTGGGGAGAGTGGGGCAAAGTCTCGAGCTCAGCTGGGCACTAATTCTGCACCAGAGTCCCGCTTGGGGGGCGAAGAGGTGGGAGAAACACAGGATAGGGGCAGCAAGCACCTGGGAGCCAGCACCACGTGCACCCAGACGGACGCAGGCTTTGCATGCTGCAGCTGATTAACACCTGAAACACACTGCCAAGGCCAAAGCAGCTCGGAGATGGCATTTTAAACCAGGACACGTTCCTGGCTCGTTATGGGGAGGCTGAGGAAGGTCTCGTGCTACACCTGAGGCGAGGCTGCGCAGCGCGACCCTTTCCATCTATGGATGCCCGCTTGCAAACCAGCGGTGCCAGCCCAGCCGTGAGCCTGTAAGCTGAGACGTCTTTGCTCCTCCTGACCACCAAACAGCCCCAGAAAGGAACGGTTTCCCTGCACTATATTTCCATGGAGGGGGGAGGCTGCAGCCCAGCACCAATCCTGCCCTCCCATCCGAGCCCCTCTGCCATGCACAGGGCAGAATAAATCCCAAGGGCAGATTAAAATACTTGGGATTAAAACCGGTTTGGTGCAAGGAAAAGCAGATGGATTTGGTTTTCTTTTTAATCACTGGGAGCTTTGCACCCCCCTCTGCAACCACCATGCAAGAAATAGTCCCTAAATCTAAAAGATGAGGCTTCTTTTTCATGCAGCAATGTGTGGCGTGTGTGTGTGGGGGGGGTGATTTTGAAACAGGGCTCTCTGCACCCTGGGTATGGGAGCAGGGGGGTGTAGGGCCAAAGGGGATGCATCTTGCTAAGAAGCCCCATTTTCAGTGTCCCATGGGGGTTGGCATCTCTCCTCCTCACCCAGTCTGGGACTGCTTCACTCCTGGTTGTGGGACAGAGCATCCCAGCTGGCGCTCAGCCCCTGTGTCCAGGCAGGGCCCCCTGCACCCCTGAGCATCAGGGGAAAGGGGCAGGTGGAGGACGTCGCATGGCACCCCGATTTGGGGATCACCCAGCTCCAAACAGGGCAGGAATGGTGCAAACACAAGTGAGCTGAGCCCACCAGCCCTCAGCAAACCTCCAGAGAGCCGGACAAGCAGGGAGAAAAGTCTCCGGAGGAAGCTTCCCTCTGCCGCCAGCTCTCCGAAGTTTCTTTGCTCGAATGCTGCCATCCAGTGGGACAAACGCCCTGGAGTGGGAAAAAGCTGGAAACGTGGCCGTGGGGGTCCTGGCCCCAACCCCAAGGCAGGTCACCAGCCCCAGGCTGCCCAGGGGGGGTCCTGCCAGGAACCTGAGCCCCCGGCTCCATGCCCCAGCCCTTGTTTTCTTAGGGGGTGAAGTCAACAGCCCTGCAGGGATGCTGAGCCAAGAAGCTCCAGCTCCTAACGTCCTCCCAAAATGTGGCACCTGGTGAGGGGATGGGAAAAGGGGTCCCAGCACAATGCCCAGGGCTCCGCAGGGAGAGGGTTTGCAGCGGGATGTTTGCGTCCTGAATACACCACGCTAGCAGAAAACCAAATACCAGCGTGTATTCATCAGCACTGGGGCTGCAAGGGATAAACAAAACACAAAGCTCCCCGGGCTCAGTTTGGTGAAGCAAAACAATTTTGGCAGCGGCAACGGAGCAGTGCAACGGCGAGCTTTGCATCCGCAGTGCCCAGAAGCCCCCCGGATCCCACAATGTGCCCGTTTGTTGTCACGGTGGGTGGCTGGGATCCTGCAGCAAAGAGCTTTCAGTGGGAATATTCAAAGTTCAACCTCTTTCAGCAGCGCAAGGTTTGCTGGATTGTGCCAGGGGCACAAAGGGACAGTGTTTGCTTGGGAGCGGGGAGGTTTGTGGCTGGGAACACGGCTCTTTTCTTCTGGGCACAGAAGGCATCTGAGCAGAGTCAAGGCGTTATCGAAGCAGGATCGTAGTCAGAAGCTTGGCTTAAAGGGAGCAAGGAGAAAATATTTGTGCATACGGAAAAAATAAATAAAAAAATCTGGGGATTTCTTCTGGCTGAAGGCAGCAGCCATTCTTCCAGAGTCATTCCGGTTTCCAGGAAAGGAGGGATTTTCCTCTGAAATTAAAAGGGAAAACCCCTAAATTTTTATTCTCCTGCCGTGCCAACAGGAAATTTCTCCATGGAGCAACAAACACGCCTGCTGCCCTCTCCTCCAAGATGCACAAGTGCTCTTCCAACCCCTTGAGATCAGCCAGAAACTGTCCCCAGACCAGCAAATCCCTGAGGACCGCAGCAAGGCAGCAGCGGCAGGGAAGGAAAGGGGACGGGAGTTATCGCAGAGCACAAAGGGAAGGGATTTGGTGTAGGAAAACTGGGCTATGTCTGAAAACAGCCACACTCCAGCACAAAGGCTAAGGTCTGTGCATTGCTCGTCACACCTAAAATCCTCATAGCTGTGCCCAAAGCCCCCTCTGGGTGCTTTATTTGCTGTATAAGCACTGCCTAAGAGAGGCAGAGGAAACATTGAGGGTCTGGGCAGGTGAATGATGAGGAAAGGGGATTTTTTTTTTAAAGATATCACTGGTTTTAGAGAACCTTTTCCCACTGATGGGTCTGGAGCGGTGAAACCACGAGCAAAGCCCAGCAAAGCAGAACGACCGAGCCCTGCTTCCGAGCTGGCCCCTGGCCTCTGCAGCCCTGGAGCTGGCCCAGCTACCTCTGAGTCACCCGGGGAAGGCAGCAAAGCTCTGCCCACTGGACAAACGCCAGCACAGGTGACTGCACAGCCCGGCCGGCGTTCCCAAGTCCAGACAAGCTCGCAGCCATGGGGATGAAAGTGTGGGGGCAGCGGCAGGGCTGGATCTCCAGCACGCCGCAGAGCAGACCCCAAAACCTCTGGCCCCTAAAGGGGGCTGTTCAGCTTCACCCCCGGCTTCGGGGTGTACCCTCCCGGCCCCTGGGCAGCTCCCCCCTACCCGGGCTGGGGCCGGCTCCCCACCTTGACACCCAGGGGGTATTTCCCCAGTGCCTGACTCCCCCATGCCCAGGTCCCCCTGGGTCCCCGGTGCCCGGTGCTCCCAGTTCCCGGTGCTCCCTGGCCCCTCGTACCCAGGGATGCTCCCGGCTCCCCCACACCCAGGTCGTCCCAGGACCCCCATGCCCGGTGCTCCCGGTGCCCGCTGCTCCCGGCTCTTCCTCCCCCGGCCGCTCCCGGTGCCCGTGCCCTGTCGCTCCCCGTTCCCGGTGTCCCCACCCCCGTACCCCAGCCGGTGCCAGGTGCTGTCCGGCTCCCCCCCGCTCCTCCTCTCTCCTCTCTTCTCCTCTCCGCCCCGTCCCGTCCCGTTCCGTCCCTCCCCCGGGAAAGCGAAAGCGCAACGGCGGGCGGAAGCCGAGCCGTGCCGCGCCGGGGGCGCACGGGGGCCACCATGGCATCAAACATCGGCAACTTCTTCCGACGGAGCCTGCGACGATCGAGCCGCAAAGGTGAGGGCAGGGAGGGGCCGTCGGGACGGGACGGTGCCGGTACCGGTGCCGGTGTCGGTGCCGGCGGAGCGGGGACTTGCCCGGGTAGCGCAGCTCAGCCCCACCGGGAACGGCCCCGGTAGGGTCCCCCCAGCCATGCCCGGTGCCCTCCCCACATCCCCGGTGCCCTCTCCACATCCCCGGGGCTCGCCGCAACCTCTGCGGGGCTCAGCCCTTGTGCTGCGCCCCTTCCCCGCGGAGCCAGCCCCGTCCCGAACGAGTCCCCTCCATCCCCCGGGGATTCGCCCACCCCCGGGCACTGGCACCCAGCCCTGGAGGTTGGCACCCACAGCAGGGGCAACCCCCGGTTTCTCCCCAGCCACGTCCCCAGAGGCTTTGCCAGCCCTTTGCCCGCTGAGCTGGCATCGTGGCTCCGGGCATGGTGGCCACACGAGCCCTCGAACTGGCCCGGAGCAGCTCCACCAGCCCCGACATCTACGGGGTGCGGTGCCACCGGGGCAGGCAGCACCGCAGGGCCCCCGGGAGGGTGGCGCAGAGCTTGGTCCTTTGGGATCTGCCAGCACTGCCGAGACAGGGGATGGATGGGGGGCTTTGGCTTGCCCCCACCTCAAGCCGGGGCCAGGCTGGGGATTTTGGGGCTCGGTGTGACCCCCCCCCGTGAGCGCTGTTGTGTGCAGGCTGGTTCTCGCTCTCGGTGTGCTATCTCGTTTGTTTTTCCACGCTCAGCAGAAAAGGCTCACTGAGGCAAAAGCCATTTCCTCCCCGCCGGGGCAGGTGGGTGGCTGCGCGGTGCGAGCGGCTCACTGCCATGCAAATACACGCGTGGGGCCGGGAGATTTCCCCCAAGCCGCAGCCCAGGAGCTGTTTGGGCAGAACAAAACAGGTTGTGCCGCATCACGAAGCGGCCCCGAGCGCTGCCCTCGGCTGATAAGGAACTCCCCCAACAGCGTGGGAAGCTGTTCATGCAGAAAAACCTCCTTCTTTCAATGCCGGTGCCTTTTCATCGCGGGCCAGGGTGCAGTGCAGCAGCCTTTGCCCTCTCCGTGCCCGTGGGAGGGAGGGGTGGGAATGCACAGCACCAGCAGCTGCTTCCCTTTGGAGCTGCGTCCCCACCACGGGGGGACATTCCCTGCTTGCAGCGGGGGGCTCTGGGCTATTCCCAGTCCCTTCCAGCTCGGACTACAGCAGAGCTGTTTGTTGGCTGAGACAGCAGAGCAGCAAATCCCATCCTGTGGCAGCAGCCTGCATCCCCAGGATGCGTGGGGAGCTGCTAATCCTGGTGGTTTGGGGAGTGCTGGGATGCCACATTACACCAGTCCCGTGCTGCACAGCGGTGCATGGGCCCGTACATCCCCGGAGCTCATCTTCCAGCAGCTCAGGGATGAGGTGCTGTGGCCTTGGAGGGGTTTAGGCTCGGACATTGAGAGTTTTGCAGCCCAACGTGGTGCAGGGGAGCCCAGCCAGGTGGGTGGCACCGTGCCCTCAGCAGTGCTCTCTGGGCTGGGCAGGTTCATGTGCTGACACCACAGCTCGGTGTCAGCAGCTGCCCCGCCATGGAAGGTTTTCTCTTAAGTGTTTGAGAAGATGCAAATGCAGATCCTGTTGGAGAGCACATCTTGCATTCCCTGAAATACAGGCCTGGACGGGACAGGACAGGACAGGCAGGATTTAACCATGCTTTCACCTTACAACGTGCGAGGGGAAAGCAAGCAATGCTGGCAGCCAGCAAGGACGGGAGCCACCAGCAGCCCTCCCCATGGCACAGCCTGGGCAAGGCGATGGAGAAATGAGAGATGCCTGGGGATAGGTGATTCTGGTCCCTGGGCAGGGACCACCCGTGATGGGACAGCGAGTGTCACCTCCTCAGCCAAGCTTTGTGCTCCTGTTGGCTGCCAGTGGCCAGGAGCGAAGGCTGGAGCCCTGCTTCAGGACTAAAGGAGACGGCTACGGAGCTGGGGGGACACACAGGGTGGGCCTGACCCCAGAACTGCCATCAGAGGAGGACGTGGGAGCAGCCAGCCACAGCTGGGTATTGAGCTGCAGGAAGCCCACGGGATACTCCAGGATCTGGGGACAAACTGCAGGAGTTGTTTCACCCAGGCGTTTATTTTCCTGCCCGTTACACCTAGAAAAAGCCCAAGCGTTGCTGTAATGCCATAATCAGAGGCAAGACCAAGCCCAGGACAGCTGCAGTGCAGGGAATTGGGTATTTAGAAAGTCACAGCCGGCTGCTGGGAGAGGGCAGAGCTGTGGCATGGCCTCAGCCCCCTGCCAGCTCCGGGCTCCTCCACTGCCAGCCCTCAATCGCGCTGCCCCGTGGCACCCACCCCAGGGCCCTCGGAGATGTCAGCTCGGGTTCTTCTCCTTCTCGTTTCTCGGTTTGGGGCTGTGACAGCTGACACTCCCCAGCTGTTTCCCCCAGCCCGCCCACCAAGAATGAGGATGCAGTCGCAGGGAGCTGCTTCGCGCTGGGAGCTGCAGCTTAGGGAAAACCCTCGAGTATCTCGTTTGCAATCAGCAGTTCCCAGGACTGAGGGCATCTGGCAGGGAGACTTTGGGATTCATCGCACTGGAGCTTTTGGAGGTGCTTAAACAGCATCTGTGCTGGCTGTTTGCTGTTTTTTTTCCCCCTAAGAAAATAAATTTAAGTGCTCCGAAAACATTCCCACACATTTCTGCAGAGACCTTCTGCTCTCCACCACCCCGCGTGCCAGCTTTGCTCTGGGTACCCCTCTGCCCTCACTGACACAGGGTGAAGGAGTGCTGGGGGTTCTGACAGTGCTCAGATTTTCTCCAAAAGACTCCTAAAAGATAACTCTTTCTTTCCTTTTCATGTCCTGTGCCAATGGGTCCCTGACTGTTCACCACCACCCTTGCAGGGTGCACAGGGCATCGTGTCCCGCTCCCCTCTGGTCGGATCTCGGGTAGCTCTGCATCTCCCGTCCTGCCACCAGGACACCTCCTGGCCTTTCATTTCACTGTGCTCTCTCTCTCTCTTTTTTTTTTTTTTTGGTTTGGTTTTTGCTTTTGTTTTTGGCTACAGAAGGAAAACAGGAGGCCCCTGCTGCAGAAAGCAACTCCTCGCGAGCGCTGCAAGGGAAGGCAGGAGACCGGAGCTCTGTCCTCTACTCTGCCGGACAGTTTTTCTTCGAGTACCTGGTGGTGGTGTCATTGAAGAAGACTTCAGATGGACGTTACGAACCCAAGATTACATACCAGTTCCCAAAGGTATTTAGCCCCACTTTTGGGGAAAAAAATGAGCTCCAGCAGCAAAATCACCTCTTAGGGAGGTGGCATGTGGAGACCCCTCCTTTGAAGAGTATTAGGTGCCTGCACTGTGCCCCAATATCCACGGGGTAAAACAGGCTGAAATTGGGACTTTGGGGAGCTGCTTGCCCAGGGATGTGCAGGCACCTTCTGCTCCGGTCTCACCCAGGGACGCTGGGGCCAAAAGGTTCCCCCCTGCCCCCAGCAGCACCCCAGGGCTTTGGGCATCACCCTGACTCGTGGCATCACTTTGTTCCAGCGTGAGAACCTCCTGAGGGGCCAGAAGGAGGAGGAGGAGCGCCTCCTGCAAGCCATCCCCCTCTTCTGCTTCCCTGATGGCAACAACTGGGCACCCGTCACCGACTTCACCAGGTACCCGCGCCGCTGCGGGGTCCCGGCCGCTGCTTCCCACCCGGTGCCACCGTACGTGGGGGCTGCGGGCTGGGAGAGCTGCCCCGTCCCCATGCCTTGTCCCTCCTTGCAGTGAAACCTTTTCCTTCGTCCTGACGAATGTGGATGGCAGCAGGAAGATCGGCTACTGCAGGCGGCTGCTGGTGAGCATCCCCCATTAGCCCCGGGGATGGTGGCGAGCGCGGCAGGAGGTCTCAGAGGATGGGGAGGAAACTTTGGGAATATGCCAAAGGGCTTTGCACCAAAACTATTAACAACTCCGGCATCCAAACTGCCTTCTCCAGGCCTCAGCACCATCTGCTTATGCAGCATGGGCTGCGTCCTTGGCCAGAGGCTCTGAAAATCCTCCAGCGGGCAGTTGTTTCTTTTCCTTTGAAATGCCAGAGCCATTCCTGCCCCTCAAAGGGCATCTCCTCAGGTTCCCAGCACATCTCATGTGGTGAATGGGGCTGGAGATCACTGGGGAGAGCATGGAGGTGGTGTCATGGGGCTGGGAGGTGCTCCAACCCTTTTCCATCCTCTTCCAGCCCTCCGGCCGTGGCGTCCGCCTCCCTGAGGTCTTCTGCATCATCAGCTGCCTGGGCTGCTTCGGGCTCTTCTCCAAGGTAGGGACGTGGTGGCTCCATCCGGCACCGTGGTGGCCCTGGCAGCTGTCAGGGGTTTGACGGCTCCTTTCTGCCTCCCCCAGATCCTGGACGAGGTGGAGAAGAGGCGCCAGATCTCCATGGCGGTGATTTACCCCTTCATGCAGGGCCTCCGGGAATCGCCCTTCCCAGCTCCAGGGAAGACGGTCACCATCAAAAGCTTCATCCCCGAGTCGGGCACAGAGGTTGGTGGGGTTCTGGGGGCTCAGCACCTTCTGGTCTGCTCCAACTGTCTGCTGGAGCATCCTCCGTATCTGCAGCACCCATGGGTGCTCCCTGGAGCAGTGGGTCAGGCTGGGGGAGGCTTCATGCCCTGGGAGATGTGGGTGCCCCCTCCCTCCTCGCCGAGGAGGAGAGGAGCCAGTGGTGAGGATGAGGAGGAGAAGGAGGAGTAGAAAGAGGAGGAGAGAGAAGGAGGAGAAGGAGAAGAAGGAGGAGGAGGAGGAGAAGGATGAGGATGTGGATGATGAGGATGAGGCTGGATCCCATCCACAGTGATGCCACCTTGCATCTCCGCCAGCCTGGAGCTGGAGCCACCAGCACAAAACCTTGCTCAGCACCGTTCCTTAGCTCACTGCTGCCTGCACGAGTGGCCTGGTGGCACAGTGCCCACGGGGTTCATCTCGCCCACACACAGCACAGGGCCACGCTAGGACAGGCAGAGCCTTTGCTTTTTTGCTTTTCCTTTCTCCTCCGGTGAAGCTTCAGTGAAAAAAATGGGTTGGATCTGTCCTGGCACCCCGCAGGATAATGTCAGTGCTGAGCATCGCCAGGGATGTGTCCTGCCAGGGTGGGTCTGGGAGCAGGATCCCTTCTCTCTAGTGCAATTTGGCAGCTGGCTATCAAATTGCAAGAGATTTCTTCATCCAGGAAAGCTTGCGCAAGGGCTTTGCACATTGCTCAATGCTCTGGCTGAGGGCCAGGCTGCAGGGTGCGTGGCTGGGGGTGACGGAGAGGGAGGACACATGGGGACGTTCTTCGAAAGAGATGGGCTTTGGGGCTCCAGGCAGGGGCTGGAGCAAGTCGGGGAGATCCATGAGAAAATGGGAAGGGGATGAAAATAAATCCTGGGAGCTGCACAGGCTGGGAGCTGGGGACCACAGAGGATTTGTGCTGGAAAGGGGCTGCGGAGCCCAGCCAAGCCCTGAGCTGCTGGCTGGGAACACAGCTGGAAGGGTGTCACAGCACGGGGAGGAGAGGGACAACCCCAAACCCAGGAAAAACGGGGGCCAGGGCTGTGATGTGCAACACAGTCCTGCCAGTCCCTGGCTGGTCGCTGTCCCCCACAGTGGGGAACACGCACCCAGCAGGTTTAGGAGGCTCCTCTCCAGGGCAGAGCCAGCAGGACGGACAGACCACCCGCAAATATCTGCTCGATGTTTCACCTTTGGGCCATCCTAGCTGTCACGAGGCGAGCCAGCCCTCTGAGGGAGTCTTTTGAGGAAGCTTGTGCGGTTTTTATAGCAGAAAAGTCATGTCCTAATCCTTCCTCCTTTTCCCGGGCAACTTTCTCCACTGTTGCTCACAGGCGAGCTGTCAGCTGCTGAGATCTTGGCACTTCCCTGCTGGGCTCCTGCCAGAGACTCACGAGCACTGGAGAAAAGAGGCATTTTGGTTAAAATTCCATTACCCTAATTAATAAAAGCCACAGTACGCAGCACCACTGCACCTTCGTTGCTGTGTGTCCCAAATCACCACGCAGGACAAGGTGAAGTTTGTGCTTTGCAGAGGGTCTTGATGGAGGTGCTGCAAACTCCAGGAAGGGTGTTTGGGCAGCACTGTGGTCATTAATTGCTCCCAAACTGCCTTCCTGGGGAGCCAGGTCGGTGCTGGGGGGATGTTTCACCTCCTAAGGGGGTTTGGTGGCTCTCCCTCCACAGCTCATCGAGCTCACACGGCCCCTGGATGCCCACCTGGAGCACGTGGAGTTCCAGGCGCTGCTCCAGCGGCTCAGCCCCGACCTCATCCTGCACATCTTCGCCTCTGCCGTGTTGGAGCGCCGGCTCATCTTCCTGGCCGAGGAGCTGAGGTGAGTCCTGAGCTCTTTATTTTCTAAAAAAAAAAAAACACAAACACCACCAAAACCTTGCAGGACGCAGCTGAGCTCAGGGTGCTCCTTGTCCTCTCGCAGCGTCCTCTCGCAGTGCATCCACGCGGTGGCCGCTCTCCTCTACCCCTTCACGTGGGCTCACACCTACATCCCCGTGGTCCCCGAGTGCCTGCTCGACACCGTCTGCTGCCCCACGCCCTTCATGGTGGGCATCCAGATGCGGCACCTGGAGCGGGTCCTGGACCAGCCGATGGAGGAGGTATTTGAGCCAGGGAGGGTGAAGGTGGCTGGATGGAGACGTGGATTTGTCCATGGCCCTGCGGTTGTGCTGGTGCTGGGGCTGAAGGCTCAGGTTGTGCCCTTTTCTCTTCTGGAGGGATATTCTCCAGATCGGGTTTTTGTGTCCCTCTTCCTTCTGGCACCTGGGGCAACACCTCCACGTCCCCAGGGTGCTGCCCCAGGACCCACAGCCCTGACCCTAAGGGATCAGGGAGCTGACATCAGCTGGCTGGCATCGTCCCAGCCCTGCAGAAGCAGAGGCTGGGGACAGCCACCAAGCCTGGGACAAACACAGCCCCTGGGGAGATGCCTGCAGCACAGAGGGACCAAGCCCTCTCCTGCCGCCCTCGTGGGCTGCAGACACAGTGGTCTGATCCCAAAATGGGTGGGAGGAGGCCACGGTGCCAGGGATGTCTTGGTGAGTCTGCTTGCTCAACCCGGTCGCTCTCTCTGCTCTCTTTTAGGCTCTGATAGTTGACCTGTGCAAAGGGAAGATCATCCGGGCGGTAGGTGCCCCTGCACGGGGTCTGGGGCTGGGCTGGGCCCCCCGTCCCCCCTCGGTCCCAGCTGCCTGGCAGCTCTCCCGTTTGGGTGTCAGACCGGCAGGGTGTCCCCCCGCTGCGGTTTAACCCGGCCGGCAGCTCAGCACCACGCAGCTGTTCGCTCACCCTCCCCCTTCCCCCTCTGGGATGGGGAAGAGAAACAGGAAAATGAAGCCTGTGGGTTGAGATAGAGACGGTTTATTAGGGCAGAAAAGAAAATAAAAGAACAATAGTAACGATAATAGTACTACTAATAAAAATGGGTGCAAAACAAGTGGTGCACAATTGCTCACCACCCGCTGACCAATGCCCAGCCTATCCCCAAGTACAGCCACCCCTATATACTGTTCAGCATGACCCCATAAGCTATGGAATACCCCTTTGGGCAGTTTGGGTCAGCTCTCCTGGGTCTGAACCCCCAACCTGCCCACTGGCAGAGCGAGAAGCTGCAAAGTCCTTGGCTTAGTGTAAGCACTGCTCTGCAACAATTAAAACATCAGGCATGTTATCAGCATTCTTCTCATTCTAAACCCCAAACACAGCACCCTACCAGCTCCTAGGAGGAAAATTAACTCTGTCCTAGCTGAAACCAGGACACCCACAAATGGGTTTCTCCACCCGCTGCATCTGTCCCATGAGCCAGAGCACCTGGGTCTGTGGGCACGCCATGCCCAGCATCACCGCGCGCTAATTAATTAATGAGCCCTACAGAAAGCCCCGTTGCTTTCCAGGTCGGGGATGAGGAGGAGATCTTGCCCATCAAGCTGCAGAACGAGATGCTGACGTCTCTGAACAGGCACAACAACAACAACAACGTGCACAGTAAGGGCTCCTCGTTACAGGTGGTAAAATACGTGCAGCTGCCCTCCGCTGGGTGGCCACAGTCCCCAGCGAAATGGCTTTTCTAATGGCAGCTGGCCTGAGGTTTTCCTGCCCCAAACTGGGGCAAAATGCAGCCGCAGGAGAGAAATGCCTCGGCCCTTCTCTTGCCCTGCAAAACGTGAGGGCAGGAACAAGTGATTCTGCTGCAAAAATTGGGTTTTGTCAATATTTGGCCTGCAAAGATGCTGCTGCCTTGGAAAGCAAATGCAGCCAGTGCTCCTTTATCAAAATTAGCTTACAGGCAGAGGGAGGTTTTAAGCAAATAACAGTTTGTTGGGATGGAAGCACAGTCTGTGAGCTGGCCAGGTTAAAATAGGACCATCTGCCATATGTCCACAAGTGCCATCCCCACCCCTCGTGCTCTGTGTCCTCTTCCAGCATCCCGAGCAGGTGAACACGCTCGTCTCCGAGGCCTTTGTGCAGTTCTTCGTCCGAATCGTTGGACACTACGCCTCGCACATCAAATGGAGTAAAAACGGCCCGGGGACCTTCCAGGAGCGAGCCTTCTGCAAAGCCATCGCCTCCAAGACCAACCGCAAGTTCGTGAAGAAGTTTGTGAAGACCAACATGTTCTCCCTATTTATTGAGGATGCAGAGAAGAGCAGGATCCCGCAGGAAGGTAAACGGCCTCATCTCTCCTTTCTTCACTGGTCGGGTGAGCTCTGCAAAGTCCTGGGGCATTTGGTTAAGGGAAAAAGATGCCCCGTGCCCAGGGCAGGCTGCAGCAGCGGGCTGGGGATGCTCAGGACAGCGAGAGGCACCCAGGAACCCATTTGCCTTCCATACTTACATTTCTCCGGCCCTGTCAAGCAATTAAAAAGCCATCCCCAGGCTCATTTTAGATCTTGTCTGGGGCTGAGGCAGGCTTACCAAGGGCTCAATGTTCAGGCAAACATGCCAGTAGCAGCACAAATATTTGGCTTGCACTCAGGCAGCAGCTGGGAGCTGGCTCCTAGCTGTGCTGCCAGCAGGTCCTGACTCATCTCTGCCGCCGGCTCCAGCGCGGATCCGTGGTGGCTGGGTTGGTGCTTCCTCGTGCCCAGGAGGGCACCAGCCCTAGCCGAGCCTCCTCCCAGCTCATGATGAGAGCAAACAGAGGCGAGAGAGGTTGAGGACGTCACCAAAAACATCTGTTGGTGGCCAGAGACGTCGTGGCCTGGGGTGCAGCACAGCAGAGGGCATGTGGGGCAGTGCCACAGGCAGCACCTGGAGCCCATGGTGGGTCCCTTACAACCCGCCTGCAACCTGCCCAGTGGAGCAGAGGCATGGCACAATCCCAGCTTTCCCATCATCTTCCCAGCCCATGTCACCGTTGTGGCTGGTCACAATCTCAGGGCCTCCCACTTTGTTTCCTCCTCGCTGGCTGCATAGGAAACACCGAAACTGAGCCAGAGTGACAGCGTGGGTTAAAGCCTTACGCTAACCCAAGCGTGACAAAGCCCATTTGGGGTGGGTGGGGAGCGCTGGGTGGAATTGCCACAACCTCGATGCCACCGTCACCTGGGTGGCAGCCACGCAGCCGGGCCCTCCCCGCACCCTGCTGCTCAGCTCCGTGCACGAGCAACGGAGCGTGGATGCGACAGCTCTGGCACTTGCGGTGTTTGGTGACGGCACACGACCTTTTCTTGTCCACAGTGTATTTCCAGCAGAAGATAACAGAATACCACGAACAGAAGAAGCACCGGAGGGACTCCTGAAGGGTAGCCAGGAGCACCGGAGCTGGAACTGAGCAGGTCTCTGCCAGCAGCGCTGTGCTGGCTTGAGCCGTGCCCCGAAAAAGGGCAGAGCACGCTGGACTCTGCTGGATCTGCCCACCCGTTCCTGCCTGTGACTCATGAGAAGCACCAAACACCAGTTTCAACCCTTTCTTTTCTCCCTCAGGGCACCATTGCACTGGCAGACTTTTGCACAGAGCTAGCACGCGGGCTGTGGTTTCTTTTCCAGCCTTGCTAGCGACAGGGACAAACCACACCTCAGTGCCCAGCTCTGCACCGAGCCTTTGGCCACACCAGGACCTCACGTGGAGATGGAGGGAAGTCAGGGAGCAGGTGCCTGCTGGCTGCAGGACAACAAGGGCTGTAGAGTAATTGTTAAAGAAAAAAGAAAAAAAAAGGATGAGTAGGAAATGCTGTTATTTCTAATTAAAACAAACCTAGGTTTTGCAAATAAGCAACATCCTATGAAATGTGTTTCCGAGGATTCTGGTATTAGCGGTTGTTTCACTTTGTTTTCTGTCGAGATATGCTCATTGTTCAATGCCAGCAGGAGCAGTCTCAGTGGGTTTTAGCAGTTTCCTCTGTAGTAGCTCTCTTCTTTGTTGGTACTACTTGGAGCAACAGTCCCAGTTTAGCTCTTTGAAGAAACGAAAATACCCTTTCCCAACAGGTTATTTATTCGCACTGTAAGCAAACTGTGAAGGCCACCGGGCTATGTTTTGTCGTGGAGGGAAACAGCAGATCAACAGCTTCGGGCAGGGAGGAAATAATAGTTAAATCAAGTAGTAAAACATCAACATTCTACTTGTTCCTGGTTTTGATGCCAACTTTTTTTAAAACCTCACTGTTGTTTTTTTTTTTTCAGTGTTGTTTCTGAAATGTGATGCCTGTAGCAGATAAAGCTAAATTGCAGTGCTCCCTCCCTCCTTTTCTAACACATTTACCCAGGGAACAAGCACTGCAGCACAGACAGCAGGGGCTGGCTGCAGATGCACCTGGTTCCTTCCCAGTTCCTTCCCTTGGGGGAGAAGTGGATGAACAGGGAAGGAAACTTGCTTCTCCCCAGCAAGAGCTGTGGTAAAAAGCAGAGCTTCATCCTCCTCTGTGGGACTGTAGAGCCAAGCTGCCGTATCGCTCAGGAGCTGCTGGTCATATGTACCACACAGAGATGATTATCAAAACTATCTTTTAATACAGCTTTTGCAGTGGCATTGAGTTGCCACTGAATGCCACAGTGAGAGATTTTATATAAACGTGACAAAATAAGCAGGCTGTCTGCCAGACAGCTTTCACTTTCGGAGCCGTTGAACTAACAAAAACAAGAGACGCAAAGGGCAATTATTTTAGAACTATTTGTGTAGTCATGCACAAATACAAGCAACAGAAGAACGCTTGGACAGAGGATAAAAAATGAACAGCAACGAAACACTCCATCCACGCTGAAAGAAAATCAGTGATGTTTTGATCAACTCCCATGTGTGTTTGAGGGAGAAAACCAAGAACAATTTGTCAGAAAAAAAAAAAAAAAAAAAAAAAAAAAAAAAAAAGACGAAAAAAGAGAAAAGAAAAAAACAAGTGGTTTTGGCACTGTAAGTACCTTCTTTGACTCCACAAGTTCGCTCTCATGGGTAGAGAGAAGGTTACAAGCAGTCAACAGGAAGTTAAAGGTTAGCGATCTTTCTCTGTGCTCTTTTCAATTGAATCTGCGAGCAGAAAAGGGAAACGGGTGGGGAAATTAAAGGCACTGATCAAGAATTGTCCCTTTGGTAAAGACCACTCGCCTCCCTCTTTTCCTTCTTGCTCACCGCCACTTTGAGAAGATGCTGACCTCTTTTGGTTGTGAGGTGTAACACAACATCTCACTGAGAAAAATGGGAAGTGGTCCTTGCTTTGGTAATAGGTCTTCGAAAGAGTCAGAAGTCACACAAGGGACTGGACGACTTGCTTCCGCCTCAGAAAAACGTCATAGAAGGTGCTTCCCTAGGTGCTGAAAAGAAAATGGAGATATGCAGAACCTGATCCCTAAATTTAAAATGTCATTCAAAGGCAGCCAGTGCTACAGACATGAGCATGGGTTAACCACAGCAGATTACAAGGGTTCATGCTCTACTGTGTGCTTGCCAGAGAACAGTATGAAATGCAGTCTTAAGCTACTTAAGGCACTTTTCCTTTCGATTTTGTCACGGAGTAAGGGACTTAGATCCATTTCCAGTGACCAGCTCGGAAAAGCATTGTTTGGGAAGCATCCAAGTCCTTAGCTCAGCCTCTCACTTGGCTACAGGGAAGACAAAAGGGGAGAACAGGGATGGGTACAGAGCAACCGGGCAGCTTCCTGGCACTAACCCCTCCGCCCACTGTCCAGCAGCAGCTCCAGAGCTACAAGCAGCTGAGGATGCTGGAGCAGGCTCCAGCCTGCTGGAAGAGGCAGTCCCCACATGCTGTAAGATGAGCTGTCGGGGAAGAAGACTGGCATGGCTGAACAGGGAACATTTGCTGAGTCTCCAGGAGAAAAAGAAAGTTTATGTCCAGTGGCAGAAGGGACAGGCAAGTTCGGGAGAGAACAAGGAAATTGCCAGCATATGAGGAGGAAAAACAAACAGAAAGGCTGAAGCCCAGCATGAGCTCAGCCTGTCCACTATGGCCACAGTCTTCCTGCAGACCTCCAAATCCTCCCACTGTTACCCTCCACTCCTCCTGTATCTTCTCCCTTCCATTATGCTGTAAGTCGTCCTGACAGCTCTGCCCTCATTTCCTGTGCCTTCACGACTTCAGAATGTACTGAAGAAAATACACTGTTTATTTCTTTGAACTCGGTCTGCCTCTCAAACCAGCTGCTTGTAGGTGGAGGCACAGCGTTTGCTGCTAGAGACAGAATAACACAGTGTTAGGGACTGGAAGGGACCTTGAAAGATCATCTATTCCAATTTCCCCCTGACTAAGGGAACTGGGCCTCCCACCATGGGTTCTCCTTGTGCGGGTGCTGCTCTGTGACACCTCTGCTTGGGTGGTAGAGAAAGCCTCCATTTTTCCGGATGGCCAGAAGAATTCCCTTACCTAACCAACAAGGCTAAAGAGGGAACCAAGGCATTGTTACAAGCAATAAGACTGAGATTTGGGTTCCTGCGGTAATTTTATCAGATCGTTTCAACACTTCAACGCTTTGTAATTACAGCTTTAGTTAGCATGTCTGATGCAACTTTTGATGCTAACATGTATGTCTCACTTGTGAAGAGCGTTGTATATAGGAAAATAGAGACCAACATTTGGAAAATTTGGGAACATACCAAAGTTCTCCATTGAGTATTTCAAGATGGAGCTACTTAGGGACTCCAAGAGTTGTGCGATAAATTAACCTCATGGTTGCCCAATGTCACCTGGCTAAAACAATTATTTGTATTATTCTGTTGCTAAAGTGTTTTATGTGTTGTAGTAAGAATGTCCTAACTGGCTATGAATCCTGGAAAAAGCATCAACTTCGTTAGAAGATAGAATCAGGAAAATACTTTAGGAAGTGCTTAGAAAAAGAAAGTATTTTGTAGAAACACGTAAAAGAATTTACTAACGGTTTAGAAAATGGGGGATTGGAGTAAGTAATAGATGCTAAAGGGTTAACTGTAGAACTATAGCAGGTCTGGAGAGGTCACCCCAGCTGATTTTGCAAGTTTTAGCTAACACAGATGTATATTGTAAACTAATCACAAGGGCAGGACCGAGACAGGATAGCTCTGGAAGATAAGGGATTTCTATAGCCCAGGCCATTGTGAACACTAGTTAGCAAGAAAAGAAAAGCGACAAAACGGGAAGATAGCACATTCCCTGCTAAGCAAGAACGGGTTTAGGTGAGTTTTAAGGCTGAAGTGAAAAATCCATAGCGAGGAAGACGTGCAGCCTTCATCCCGAACACCCCGGCCCACGACCACAAGGTGGCACTGAGCGTGTGCACTTGGGAGGATTTAAAGGCGGAGACAATGGAAACGATTTCTCGGAACTCATTGTAATAAAACCGCCCTTTAAGGGAAAAGTTACGAATATGTATCGGCGTTTTCTTACCGGTGTAACCCCTTCTGTATAAATACAGGGTGAACTACTGTGGTGGGTGCACATGATTGTGGTGGGGCGACCCCCAGTGCTGCCCAGCGCTGAATAGACACACCTACTTTACAACTTTACTGGTTGTGGGGTCTGTTTATAGATTGTGGAGTTTGTGTACAGGTTGTGGAGTCTGATTACAGGTTGTGGAGTCTGTTTTCCTCACGTCACCATCTTGTCCCACCTTTCCCTCACGGGCTGAGGCAGCCTCAAGATGGCGACTGTGGGGCGGCCTGTGGGGAGGCAGGGGGTTGTGTGAGGGAGGGCTGCAGGCGGCATGGAGGGCAGGCCCAGCCCTCAGCCATGGGGCTGGGGAAGATGCTGAGACCCTCCTGGAGTGGCCTCGCTGGTCTGGAGAAGGGAAGGAAGGCTGCCTTGCCCTGGCCAGTGTGCCTTTTGTGTGCGCTTCAAGCGTTAGGTGAAGCTCTGGGTTGTGAGCAAAGGTGCACGCTAATGAGAATGGTAATTTTTGATGCAAACAAAATAAAGGGAAATGTGCCCAGAAGTCACACCATCCCGCTTCCTTAGCTGGCCATTTCCTGGGTGTCCATTGGCATAATGCTCAGGGTGACATTTCAGCCTCTTTCATGCTTGTTGCAGGAGTCATTGTACACCTTGGGTAATTATCCCTGAAAGGTTGTGCAGAAGAATCCAGTGTTAATGCAGAAGGGATTGTCCAGCGGGTGCAGTGATGGAATTCGTTCAGGGTTGCATAAGTGTAAGAGATGACCGTCTACCTTCATGTTACCCAAATGCTGTTCTTTCCCAGGCATTCATTCCTTTATAGTCCTGGTTACGTTCCAGGAAGGTGGTTTATTCTTGTTCCCAAACCCTCTAGTATCATGCCATTACCTTTTTTTTTTTTTTTTTTTGGCCAAATTGGTGTACTTCAAATGCTGGTTAGAATGGGGTGTAGTCATACTGCCTGTGTTAATTGTCTAAATTGGAGGGGGGGTGTCCACATAGGTGAGGTAGGGGAGAATTGCCTCCAACAGGCAGTTCAGAGCACCCTGAACAGCAGTCCTCCTGTTTTGGAGTTTTCTTCTGAAAAATCCTTTATTTATTTATTTATTTCCCCTCTGATAATTAAACAGGATCTGGTCTCTTAGCTTGGTCCCGGTTGGGTTCTGTGAAGCCCTCACAGGCTGGCACTCATTTTGGTCCTGAAGAAAGCTGGCCTGCTTTCTGACACTGCATTGCTGGCAGCTCTGCAATCACGATGAAATGCAGAAATACTAGAAGTGTGATTGTTGGTAAATAGAGCAGAATAAATCCTCAAGGACATCGCAGCTGAAGATTCATGAATGCAGAAGAGCATGAAGGGCAGTGGCCCAAGGGAATAAGCAGACACCATAGGCCTGGAGGGAATGCCCGTAGCACGTAATAGGTTATCTGATTACAAAGCCACTCAGATATTGATTTTTACAGCTTTTTGCTTTATTCTTAATTTGAAATTCTTTTCAGTTTCCTAACAAGAACAGGAGCAGACTAATTTAAAGCAGTCTCTCGCTTTGGAGAGAAGTTCCTATATCTGCTAATCTTGGGCTAATCATGGTTGCCAGGATCCTGTTTTTTGTTGCTTATCTTTCCTTTCTGGTATTCTATATTTTGCAGTTGCTGGGGATGAGAGAGAAGTAAGGCATGAAGTAGAGAACAATCTAACAGGTATTCTAGAGTGAATAGAATGAATAAAACTTTGTACGACTAACTTGAAGTGGTTAAGTGTTGGATTTTCTCTGTTCTTTAGGTTTCTCATGCAAGAACACATTGCTGATTCCTTGTATTTTGAGGAGCTAGAGACAAACGTTCCAAAAGTGTTCTTGTGTTTCCATGATTTCCAGAGGAAAAGGAAAAGTATGAAGGAGCCAACTTAAATTTGTCTAGCAGGAAACTCCTTGATTTCTCTATTTTTGCACCCAAGCAATATAATACAAAATTCAGTTTGCTTTCCCATTTATTTTTATTTTTTATTTATTTATGAATTTATTTATTTATTTATCTGTGGGTCTTTCAGGATGTGGAGCAGAACTGGATGGTTTATCTAGTAGCTAATAAAACATTATGCTTTTCATGTCTTTTGCTCAAATCTCTGTGGTTTCTCATGCATATGGCAAATTTTACTCAATTCGCAAAACTGCTGCTGGAAGGCACTTAGGTGGCATCGTACTATGATGACTGTAGCAGAATCTCTAGAGTATAATTTATTATATGATTGCTCTGTTCTGATAGTCCACTTAGGGCAAGAGCCCTTTGCAGTGAGCAGATGAAGCTGCCTAGCCGTTAGTCACATGGATATACTTTTACTACCTATTCGAGATGAAAACAGTCCCCTTAGTGTTTACTGCTGTTGAAGTGGACAAAGAAGAAACAAATATTTCAGGATAGGCTGCAGAGAATGTGTAGATTTGGTAAGAGTTTTAGCTAGACCTCCTGGAAAAGGACAGAGGCGATGTCTGGAGGCACTGGAGTGGAAAGTATTGACTGATAGCGTCAGTCTTAGAAAAAAACTCCTGTCCTTTTACATCCTGTCCACTGTGCCCTACCTATCTCATATGCCCAGTTCCTAGAATGTTGCAAATTTATTTCCTGCTGCTGTCAAATGAAAGATAAGCTGGGAGGATATGAGAGACACTAGCCACGTGCAACTCTACATCACTATTCAGCAGCTAATACAGAGCCGGTTCACTGCAGTAGATGCTTTCTGGCAGGCTTATTTGAAGACGCATTCAGGTTTGTAATGTCCCAGATGTCCAGAGGCTGCTTGTACACAACTCAGAGTGCTCCTGAATTCAACAGCTGACTAGCAGAAGTGGATTAGTGTGCTGCTGATGCTAACTAACATAACTACCAAATGTGCCAACCTAAATTAGCTGTTCCAACAATGCTGCCTTTGTTGTAGGCAGGTCAAGTTACTAGCAAGTCTCCTTCATTTACACCTGTAAGATGTTACAAATTTGGAAAGATTTGTGAATATTTCTTGTGTCTTTGTTTTAAAACAGCCAGTTACGTATTTGTGTTTCATGACAGAGGACTGGTGCAATCTGTAGAGATAAACTATACCTAGAAATACCCTCAATTTCACCATATGATATCAGATTATCTACGGCTTTGTAGACCAGAAGTGTGTACCAATAAGCCTTGCTATCATGACTTAGTTATTTAACTTCTATGTTTTTAAGATCTGAGGCCTTCAGGGCCTTTATTCATTGCCTAGGTGAAGAATTTATGCATAAAAAGTTTAATTGCATTCAAAGAATCGAAGACGTTAAATAAGGAATAGAATTTATATATTGAAGCTTATTATATTAATTATTTGTCTTTCACGGTGTGTATAATTCAGACCTTAATGGTATGGTGCCCACACAAATGCTTTTGCTGTCTCAGAAATGACCCAAATGATAAGGGTAGTCAGTCAGTAACTCATTAGGCAGTTAGTGAAGGCAGTGGTGAGGAAGAAGGAAGAAAAAAAGAAATAACTTAGCGAGAAGAGAAAACAGGAAGTCAGTATAGGAAGTGAAGAATGCAATCATCTAAGCCTGTTTAGGAAGGAAAAAAAAATGATTTTGTTAGCTATTATTTTATGTTATTTTAATTTTATTTTTTAGATAATTTGCAATAGAGAGACAAAATAATCTCAGATACAGTTGTAAAGAGCCTGATGTCCTGTAGCCACATCAGACCAGGCAACAGAAGTTCCTTCTTCTCTCCCCTCTCTTCTCTCCATCTCTCTGTCCTCAGAACTGGACAAGAACCCACAGGCAAGATGAAGTTTACATTTACATGATATGATTCATGGACATCTCTGCCTTTCCACATTCCTTTTTTTCCATGCCACGCAGTACCTAAGCTGGTGCTTCTTCCAATCTTAATATCAACAAATTAAAGCCATTTTTATATCATATTCAGCACCTCTGGGCCCAACTCATGGGATTAAGATGAGAATCTTAGCTGAATTTTGGGATTTATCCATAATCCATAGTGGATGTTTGTACATATCACTATGATATCAGAATTCAGTAACTTGATCAAAATATGTGTAATCTGTAAAATTCATCAGATGCTTTACCACTTTGCTGATTTGGACCTTATAAGCATGGGCAGTAATTAACATTTTATATGCAACTATTTATGTGAGTTGTTGAAGTTAAAACTCTAGAAGGAAGTGTCATGCTCCCGTATCTCAAAGCCCATTGCTGGCTGTGGCACTGGATCTGTTGCCATGAGAGAATCTGTTTCCTGTATTTGGGTTTAGAGTCATTCATTGTTTAAAAATAGAGCAATTTAGACAAAGAAAATATACTACAGCTTTCCACTACATTTGCTTACTAATAGCTGAATCGTGATGCTGCACTACTGGAAAAGTGTGGTTATTTTTTCAGGGAAGGTTTGTGCATCCATGTGTCTCATCCTTTCAGCAGCTTTCAACTGAGCAATCCCGTGTGTACCCAGCTTCAGCAACCGGTTACAAATGGATCATTTCTAAGCCCGGTTCAGCAAAATTCTGTGAATAAACCCAAGGCTTTGTGCTGCTTCGTTTAGGTGGACCTGTTTTTCTCTTTCTCAGTTCCAGAATGTGGAGCTGTGGCTCTGAAGAAAACAGTAGCGTATTCTACAGGTCCTGAGAAAGCTGAGTTCCCTGATGGTTCTTCAAGGTGGAATAAAACTTTTGGTGAAGGCTGCACGTTGACATATGTAACATCTTCAGGCTCTGGTTGAGTTTGGTGCCTTAAGACAGCATATGTTGTGCAGTCATTCTTATCCCCATTTGAACTTCTATTCGTATTTTTTCTTCCATCCTTCTGAAAAGAAATGAAGAGTTTTTTTTCTGAGTATTGTAAACAAAAACATGCAGAGGGGTTATGACTTAGCCAAATAACTGAGTCAGGTTGTGCCTGCTCTGCAGCCACATTTGGCAATCACAAACGCAGACCGCTAGCTGCAGTCTGCTGGCTTGAGCGGATGCTACGTGTTCGCTGTAGGATGTGTGGTATCGTGTGCTTTGTAATCGCCTTGAGTGGTAAGCACAGAGCCAGCGTCTTCACGTGACTGAGATCAAACAAAGCACCAAGAATGAGGGATTTTTGATGCTCTCTTACCTGCTGCACTCCTTTTCTGAAATCAGGATGTCTGCCAAAGTCCATCTCTTTTCCTGCCACGAATAACAGAGTCTCCTTTGAGTGCAGAACCACACCTTTACCTTTTCATCGTAAAAATGATTGCCCTCTCTCTGCTATCCCTGATTTAGCTCACATGTTGCATTTCTCTCAGCTTGGTCTTGTTTCTTCCCTTTGCAACGATACTACAAGTAAACCTTACTGGCATTCAGGGTGCTGGGAAACCAGGCCCTAGGGGCAGGGAAAAATAGAGAAGAGGATTAGAGAGCTTTACCTGCTCTTTTCCTTCTGATGTAGCTGGTGGCAAGGAGTGTAACAATAGCAATCAGGGCAGTTGTAGCCAGGATGGAACTCAGCACCATGACAGCATAAAGAGTCCTGCAAGGAAAAGCGTGGTATCTCCATTACTATTTACAGCATGAGAGGCGATTAGGCTAATTTGGAAGGGGATTTTGTGTGTTGAAAAATGGAGTTTGGTTCCAGGATAAAAATTCAGCATGCTCTCTCTAAACAAGTTTGGTTCTGGGTGGCCAGTACTGGTCTACAGACACAAAGGATCCATCCCAGCTGTATTTTCTTTGGCACTTGGCAGGCCCAGGGCAAATTCAGAAGCTTGAAATCTCTTCCTGCACTCAGTTGCAGTGCTACTAGAGCTCAAAGGCATCCCTCATCAGGATGCAGTTGCCCTTTTCATGATCTCTGATCAAGATCATTATGGGGGTCTCTTTTGATCAGGTCTGGTAGTAACTCTCATCTAACATTCCATGTTGTTTAGCTGGGGTTGGTCTTAGGCTGGTCTGCTTGTACCAGAGGCAGAATCATTGTAGCATTGCATGGGCCATATGGTTGTCCCTTTTAACCATGTAGAAAGGAAGGATGCAGTCAAACTGGGCATCGTCAGCAGAGGCCTCTCCTGGTGCTCCTGAAACCAATAGGAGACTTCTGCAGCTTTATATGGGGCTTGGGGAGGTTGATCCAAACCCCATGGCAGAGAAACGGAAGCCTACATGTGTGTGTGTGCATGCAAGTTTCAGCTGTTTGTCACAGCACCGCTCAAATCCTGCACTGCCTCCAAAATGCTATGATTAGAGTCTTTGCTTTTACCTCTTGTGCTTTTTGCTGGCATCTGTGGGGCTGGCATCCAGTTCCTGTTTTTCCCCTTGAAAAAAAGAAACAAAACACAAGAACAGGTGATTTTCCCACATTGATCCATCCCTGGTGACTTTCTCTCATGCTAAAAAATCCTGCATTGCAGGCTGGTTGGATGCTCCAGAATTATTGCTTGTTTGTTACCCATGAAATTGTGCACAAGAATATTCCTCCTGTGTTATTTACCCACAGAAGACTTATTAATGCAGCAGGCACTAGAGTGGGATCATCCAGTTTGTCAAGAAGGATCTGGGAGCTTTGTTTAGGTTGTTGAGTAGTACTTTTTATCAATGAATCTAAATAAAAACATCAGGTGTAGGCTCAGCCAGACCGTTAGTAGCTAGCTGGACAGGAACAGACATCCTGTGAGTCCAGTTTTCTTCCCTTTTGGTTATAGTCCTCTGTTTTTTGTTTTGTTTGTTTTTAATTCTTGTGAAATATTTCCTACTGAATTTCATCATGCCTTGGAAAACATACTTATTTGATGACTATATCACGTGCAGAGAGGCAAAAGAGTTGTGGTTTCTGCTTCCCTTTTAAGTTTGGGTTCTGTGACAGATCAAAGGGAAAGGACAGCTACTGTCGGGGTTAAGTTTTGTAGAAGGGATAGGTAAGCCATGAAAATTCATGCCATTTTAGAAAGTGATGAGTTGCAATTGAATGCTGTTAGAAAGGAAGCATTTTAGAAAAAGAAAAAAAATTCTTGTGATGTTTTTCTTAAAAAAGAAATCTTGTGGTTTCCCCTTCCCTCCACATTTTTCACTTGTCAGAAAAATCAAATAGCTTCCACCAAGTATCTTCTGTTTTGCTGCTTTCTGCACTGGCTAAAAGCAGAAGAAGTAAAGTGTGGAAGCAAATAGAAAAGTTTATTAATGAACAGTGATAAAGAGGTGAACTCAGGTAGAAATTCAGGTAAGTGTTCAGATCTCTTGGAGTCTGTTTCATCTGCTGATGTGAATGTTAAATTTCATTAGTCAATGAAGCCAAACCAGACTGCCTCCCTCCCAAGAATTGGCTGCAATTTCTACCATTAGTATGTATCAAAAAATCTGTGTAAGAAAGGAAATTCAGGAATTATCTGTGTCTCAGGAAATTTCAAGGCTCAGAAGAGAGCTCTTTAATGTTGAACTGGAGTCTTTCTTGTCAAGTACTAAGAAACTGCTGACTTTTAGAAGATCATCATTATTTCTTTGATTAACTCACCCAAAACTTCCAGCATGATCCTCTTCAGCAGTTTGTTTCTCCCCTGGAAATGGCTCTCGAGATGGTATTCTCCTGAGTCATTAAGTTGGAGATTTTTCAGCCACACTCTAATCATTTTCCATGAGAAGTCATTCGTCATTTTAGTCCTTCCTACTTTAATGATACTTTGATCAGTGTTAGCTCTGATAATAGGTTGACATGTAACTCGGGACACCATTTTGCACCACAGAAAATGTTGAAGCTTCCCGACGTTGATTGTCACAGAATAGGAGCAATGAAGGAACAGGGATTTCCCTTTTTTTGCAAATATTATTACAGGTTCTAAAGACAACAAAGTGATGATTCATTAGAGGGGCAAGAGACAGGAAAATGCAATCCCCACAACAGCACACATCTCACCCAACAAAGAGAACTGGCAGAAGATGTGGAAGTTAGCAGCCCTGGTATCAGGTTCCAGGGCTGTCCTTGCTGTCAAATTCCCCGGGTGCTGTGACATGGAGCTACCTCTGTGCTGTGTTCAAATTTAGGAGGGTGTTGCTCCATCTCACAAGTCTTTTAACACCTTTAATAAGTTGGCTACTTGAGTTATCAAAGCCTATGTGAAAGATCTCTGTGACTGGAAAATGTTTTCAACAAAATGGAAGATTTTATACCCCCAAAAAAGTATTATTTTTGTTTGTTTGTTTGTTTTCATCAACTTGTCTGAAATGTTTCTGCCCCAAACCTAAACCCATTTGTTTTTGATGAGTATAATCCCACAAAATTGTATTCATGGTTTTTGACAGTAATTTTTTAAACAATGATTTCTTTCCCTTTGACTTTCTTTCCCTTTCCCTTTTTGATTTAATGTGGAAAAAAAAAAATTCCTGGCCATTTCTGCCTCTAGATACATGCGGATACATATTGCATTTTCTTATTGCCCTCGATAATCTCTAGTGGAATCTCTGTGACTAGATACACCATACTTTGCTATGGAACAAAAACTGGAAATGAGGCATCATTCTTGATTTATTTTGGCTGTCTCCCACCCAGTGCACTGTTGACCTCATAGCTCACCCGTAGGTGAAACCACCATCTGTATTCTTTGCAGCAAAATTTGCTTCAGATCTACCCAGACTCCACACTGGTATGTGCCAGAATCCTCTCGTCGAAGTGCTGCCATGCTAACAGAAAACCAGCCGCCTCCAAAGTCTTTCAGCTGAACAGGACGATACTGTGCACGGTGAGGATTAAGCCCTTCTTCTGAAGGGAATCTCAAGGGTAAGCCTGGACAATATTTTTCTGGTTGCTCCTTGCACCAGAATTTCTTCTTATGTAAATGCTTGTGCACATCATACGAACAGTTAGCTCTGAAGGTGTCTCCCTCTACTTGCAGAAACATGTGCGTGTCCTCTCCTGGCATGCACGATCCTTTCAAAAAAATAAAAAAGAAAAAGAAAATTGATGCTAGAACTAATGTCATCTTAGTATGTCACTTTTTCTTACGTTATACCACTAATACCGCTGGGACTGTGAGAAGAGTTATTTAACTCTGCAGTTTTGCATAAATAAACATCCATGCCTAGCCTAGAAAAAGGGTGCCGCTACCCTTTTTCCATTGTTATTCAGATTGTTCCTCTCTGTGGACTCAGTATTTATTGGCAGTAAGAAAGCAAACAGCAGCTAGCCTGTCTGACATTGCTCACAATACCTCATCCATCACGAATCTGGAGCAAGCAACACAGATTTCCCTCCCCATATGCTGGATGATTTCAGACTAAGAATGCTTCAGTGGTGGGAAAGGAAGGTCTAAGAAGGTCAGAAATTTCCAGGTATCCCTCATAAAATTAATTTTTGGACAAACTAACAAACTACTGTAAAGAAGAATGAGAAGCCAAAAGCTTGTATAATTAAAATAAGCACATTTCAGGCTGAATGTGTCCTCCCTTGTAGTCCCTCATTGACATCTGGCAGTTTTATTCTGTGTCTGGCCATAGATGGCCTGAATAAAAAGTGTAAATAAGAGTGTGCAATGCACACAACAGCACAGACAGAACCCCGTTCCCTGGAGAAATAAGAAGTCTCTGAGCCTTACCTGGTAGTGCCAGCAAGAGCAGCAGGGCTGGAAAACTGCCCATCCTCAAGTAGAAAGTGAGAAAAAAAATATCCCAGATCTTCTTTATCACTGAGGAATTCTCTAGTGCTGGGGAACTTAACTTGCTTTGTCGTTTACAGTCATCTGCTGCCTAGTGATGTTTCCAGTTTGGAGTCACTAACATCTTTTAACCACAGTCTTAATATTACTTCCCATGTGGGAAGGCTGCACCATGTTTACTGGCTGCTTTTTTTTGCTTTAAATATATTGTTTTCTAGATAGCCATATTTAGCAACCATGCTGTGTGGCTGGGAAAGAAATGGATATTTTTGGTCTCTAGGGCCACCTTGACGTACTACAGAGCAGCTTTCAGTAGGACGTGTTCATTCTTCCTGCTGTTTTGCACTTAGATGCAAGACCTGCCAACCTGCCTGGGTGTCCTGGGGCATTTCTGTACACTATAAATGTGCCGACATGTTCTAAGTGTTACCGTTTGGGTGATGTATTGTGAGTTGGGGTACTCCAGCATTTTATCATGAATCCACATTAAGTAAGATAATCAGTTTTTTATTTAGCTTTGTAGGCAATGCAAGGAAATACAGAAATATGTGGCCTTGGGTTTGGGGTGTTTGGGCAGTTAGATGCAGCTTCATTTGGGGGAGTGATAAACAATGATCATGTTGGTAACATCCCTTTGAGAAAGTAGATGAAAGGCGGGGAAAAGCACAAAGAGTTCATGCTTTGAACGTTTCACTTGAGAAATGAGGAAGCAGGCTCAGGGTTGTGCGTAGCCTTCACGTCCCTTCCTGTTACATTCTGCAGTTTCGCATCTCTTTCCACACCGACTGTCCACTAAGGATCCATTCTGCCAGAGGAAATCTGTGGGAGCTGGTCACTTTGGGAAAAGAGAACCTGTCACCTGGCAGTACTGTGAAATAACATCACGTTGATGGGTCTCAATCCAGACCCCAGTGGAGTGATGCTGGAGATAAGTTTCTGGAATAACTGCCTGGGTATGGAGCAGTTACTCGCAGTGACTAGAGGTGATAGCAGAGCACTGCATGGCCATGAGTATAGCAAAAAGGTCAGTCATTAGAGGGTGGAGTCTCAGTTACAAAACTAATTTCTAGACAATAATACTGGCTTTCAGTACAAAGCACACACTTCTGGTTATATTTCACGCCTCTGGAAGAAGCGTTCAGCGGTTTTGTAGAGGTACAGGATGTGCTGAACAAAGCTATTAGCTCTTCAATGAATCAAAAGCTCCTTGGGGAATTTTGACAGAACCATGTCTTAAAATTTGTACATTGTCTGTGTGTGCATTTATGAGTTCCACAAGAACACACGGTGGTTGAGCTGCATTACCTGAACTCCTGTTTATGTTCACTGGCATATTTGTACTTTTATTTACAACAAAGCATTGTCTGGCCTGGCACTGAGCTGGGGGAAAATGGAGCAGAGCTCTGTCACCTTTACTGTGTCAGGGGAAGCATCTCTGCAGCATAGGTAAGTCTTTGCTGGATCTCTTGACAAAAATATTTCATATTCCTCTTTCCCCCCAACCCCCAGTTCCATCTCCTTCCACCAGGTTCAGGTGTTGCTGGCAGCATCCTTTCACTTCAGTTGCGTTGGGAAAAGTTGGTCAGCGGCAATGAGAGAAGGTGAGATGGTGACATTCCCTCTTTAGGGCGATAGGTCTGTCAATACCTATGTCCCGTGGGTCATCCTTTTCTTTCTTACAGCAGGTGGCAAAGCTTTGCTGGAAAATGATTGATGTTCATTTCCCTGTCGATTGTCTTGGTTCAGCTCTAAGCAGCGCTCTCGAGGAGGAGCTGATTCCATCACGTGCATGCTTTACGAGGTCACCAGGGAAAGGGAGGACCCGCTGTTCATTCAGGCTTGAGTTGTTCTCCTCTGTCTCTCTGTTTTTCCCACTCTTGCTAATGACAAAAAGATCAGCACGGCCACCACAAGCTTGACAGCCAGGAGTCCGCCAAAGACGTAGAAGACAGTGAAGTCAGCTTCAGGATGGATGCTATGGGGAGCCATAAGCACAACAAAAAAGGCTTAGCCAGGAAGGGGATGGTTCAACCTTTAAAAAAGTTCTTGTACCTTGGTAGTACAAAGTGCAAAGATGGTAGCATCTCATGTGACAAGCAGTCCCTGCCTGGGCATAGCAGAGCCTTGGAGGTTAGAACAACTATTATAAGTTTTAAGTTTAAGATCTCACATATGAATAAATTATAGAATCATAGAATCTGTTTTAGGTGAAAAAAACCTGCAAGATCATCTAGTCCAATCTTTAACCCAGCATTGCCGAGTCCACCATTAAATTGTGATCTGCAGGATTTGTTTTGCCTGTCCCTGAAGCACTGCATTCTGTTTAGAAACTACACAGCAGCTTTGAGATTTGTCATGGATTAGGAATAGGCAGAGAATATGCCTGTGGTGGTATTCAGCTTCAAACAGAGGTGCAGAAGCTAATCTAGTTTAGTCCTAGGAAAGTTAGAGTTCACGGCCTGAGAAAAAGTTTTATGGCTTACCTGGAGATGCTGTGAACAGCTCTAGGCTCCTCTGGCATTTGGGTTTCCAGGACAGCTGATGACAGAAACAGAACAGTTTAGTCTGCAAGTGTTTCTGCGTGATACCCATTGGTTTCACAAAACCAGTGCCCCAGTTAGGCACAGGCAACCAAGAAGAGACTGGACAATGAGATGCATGCTAGGAGATTAATCTGGGTAATTATAGATGACGTGTGTTAGATGTCTGTAGTAGTTGCTGTAAATTAGGAACTAAAAAGAGACAACGAAGCATGGTACTTCCTTAGGAAAGTAGATGTTTACCAAAATAAGGCCTTGACATCTGCAGACACGTGAAATTTAAGTTAAAACTCAGGAACTTATAAAACACAGAGCCTCAGGACCTACCTGTCAGCACTTTCACTTGCACCTTCTGTAAGGTGTTTGTTTCCCCCAAGAAGTCGGTCCTGCACTGGTACAGCCCAGCGTCCTGCTTCTTGAGTCGCTTCATGGTCACCGTCAGGACCCCTTTGTGGATGTCGTCACTGATGGCAGTGGTGCCGTTCCTGTTCTTCAGGAAGGGCAGCCAGAAGCGGCGGGCGCTCACCACGTGTTGGCACTTGGTCTCATCGATCTGCTTGCACCAGCTCTTTTCTCTCCACCGCTGCTGCCGGGGGTTATAGGTACAATTGATAGATATGGTCCCCCCCTCCTCTCCGTACACCAGGGTGACGTTGTCTGCAGCACAGGATGCTAGAAGGAGAAAGCGGTGAGCCACATCTCTTTTACATCTATTGCTTATCACTGTGTTTAGGCTAAACAAATGCCGTTTTCCTCTTTTACAACTCTAATGATGACTGCTGCCAACTGTAGGGCTGGCTCACCTGTCTGCTTCCCTCATGAGAGTCTTGGTTCAGACTTTGTTGAAATATGTCAGTAGTGACCCTTTTGACTCGTGTGTCATCTAGCTCGTGCCAGGCAGCTCTTGGGGAAGGGACTGAGGTAACCGTTCCGTTAATATTTCAGATTTTCTGAAGCTCAGCCAATTTTGGTCTTCATCTTCCCCTTCTGGCCCTGTGGTGACGGCTGTGGATTGCAGTCTGGAGCGCAACCACATCACGCTTGCTGTAGTCGTTGGGCTCCTGCCCATTAAGAGGAAGCAGTTGGCCAGCACGACTGGGGGATTAAAAATAAACTTGCATTTTCCTCTCGTTCTGAGGAGCATGAAGCTGGGTATTCAAGTAGATTGACTGGGCGCCAGGCAAACTGGCTTGGCTTTTAAGAGGTCTTTTCACAAGGCAAATCATCAAAACACAGCTTGACACAATAATGACCAGTTGTTTTTGAGTAACACTCAGATTTGTCCTGCTGTAACACCCCTACTTTGCAGCATCCGACCTGCCTACTTGAATACAGCTGCAGCAAGGTTCAAAGGTATAGATTCCACATATGTTCAGAAGGATGGATTTGGCTCCAGTGTGCACTCTGCTGTGGAAAAGGTCCTGTGCAGTGAATGCCCATGAAGATTACCCCAATTTTAAGGGCTTTACACAGCCAAAGGGAAGCAAAACAGCCTTGGTGGATGCTGGAAGTGATACCTACAAGTGCACAACTAGATGTTTAGCAGGTTACTTCTTAATCCGAGTCCTGATTCCAGAGTCAGCAGATGTTTTCACCCTGTCTTTTAATATCCCTTTAATTTTAATCCTGTTTATAAGTGATCTTCAGCTTCTTTTTTATATATATATATATTTTTTTATTTTATTTTTTGCTTTAGTTCCTTATTTCTGATTTCCATTCCTCTTTGTGGTGGGCAAAGACAGAAGGGACCATCTTAACTATAAATAATTCTGGGGAGGAGTGCAGTGTGGTATTTATGAAAGTATTTGTATTTCTAGTGAAAAAGGCTGAGGCTTCTGTGAAACCATACGTAACACTAAAACAGAAGTAAATTTAAAAAGATAGGTCATTGTAAGGACTTTGAGCTGGCAGAGCCTTTTAATAATATGTCTTAAAATAATCATAAAAATTCTGAGTGAATTGTAAACTAAAAAAAAAAGAACCACTGAAGGTCTTTCAGGCTTTCCTAGAAGAAAGCCTAAAAGTGGAGCTATGCTCTCCAATTATCTAACACCTACAAACCTTTATCCTGATATTTTGCTCCACTGGCTACTTCCAGTCAAGGGTTACCTCTCTCCATGCCCAGTCCAGTCCTGTGCAAGCCAACTAAACATGTTAAATCCCTCTCTTATTTCTCTTGTGGACCATTCCTTGCCCCTAGTTCAGTTACCTTCAGTTCCTTGGCAGCCCCAGGTACTTCTCTTACTGACCAAAAACACCTCTGCAAAAATGTCTTGATCAGAGTCATGGCATTTAAAGATTTGCTGATGCCCCTGTGGAAAAACTGTGTCATTATCTTTTCAGCCAATTCTGCTGACGGGTCCTTTGCTGTTTGTTCTCCCTTGTTGCTTGCTTCCGGAAACAATATAGTGGACTTTTTTTCCAAGTGCATTCAGATTTTTGTCATAATTGAGATAGGTTTCTGTGCTCCCAAAACCTACATCCGTTACCTTTCTGTGCACTCTTTCAGATATCTAGCCTCTCCAGAATTTGGCTGCAGAGGGGACGCTTTGAGCTGGGAATACCAGCTAGATCCTGTGCCTGGTTTCTCATTGCAAGTGGACATTGCTGTCCAAGCTGAAAATAGAGACTGGGAGTGTTGCCCTCTACAAAGATGTTCTTCTTGGCTTATTGCGATGCCTAAGATTTCAGAGGAGAGGCCCCTGCTTTCAATGAATTTTATTTTCCTCCTCTGGAACCACAGCTGCTGCATTTTACATCCAACCAACCCCCTACGAATGCAAACAAGTAGGATTTTGCAGTTTCACTCTCAGAAGGCACATAAGACTCCTGTTATAACTCAAAAGGATCCCTGCGAGAAAAGGTGAGTGCTTGGATCATTGCCGGCCCTTTGTTAAATTAAGAGAAAAGAGCAAACTTCAACCATAATAAGAGTTTTTATTGGTCTTCTGAAGAGCTGCATGCTACCACTGAAGATGCCTTTGCATCCAGAAGGAGCTACTGTATCTCATGGCCTGTGCAGTCTTTTTCTGTAGTATTATCAATAATCTTATATGAGGCACAGATAGAAAGTTTATACCAGTCCTTTACCCTGCCTGTTAACTGAAACCCAAGGCCGTGCATGCTTTCTTACCTGACAAAAGCAACAAGATGAGGTGCGTGAGCTTCTCCATGTCTGTCCAGCAGAGAAGCAGTCAAGAGATGAGTCTGGACAAAAGCAAAAAGGATCATTGCCCAAGAGCAGCTTGCTTTTCCCCCCTCCTTCCTCTGCCGGAAGGAATGAGCACAGGAACTTGGCATCTTTTTCAGCTTGTGTATTGAGCAATTCGTCAGGGACAGGCATTTCTCTCACAAGCTGAAAATTCAGGCATCAGCATTGCCCACTCACCACCAGAATTTAGTCTAGACAGACCGAAAGAGAACATCATGTGATGGTGTCCAGCATTAGCAAACTGACTGGCTGCCCTTTTTTATTTTTTGATTTATTTACTTAGAGATCTTCCATGCTAGTGCTGGTAAAGCCTTGCTTCCTAACTTACAGAAATTGTCAGATAAACATGCAGGTCTACCCATTAATAAATGTACCTTCTTTTTCTTTCCTCTAGTTAGTGTTTAAGAAAATGGTAACTCATAGCACCTAAAAATTCTCTTACACATTCCAGCTCTTGTTCATTGTTGCTCCACTAAGCACAAGTCTGGATTCTCTTTGATCAGAAGCAACTGTGAATCTGAACATGTATTTCTTCCACTTGATTGTCTTTTACTATTACTCTTCCACTGTTTGACCCAGTGTAACTGACTGCAAGGAATAGCAAATAGTTAGGGGAATCGTGGGCTGGATGATCCATTTCTGGAACCATTTTCTTCTTTCGTGTCGAGATAAACATGGAAACCCTGACATTCTCAAAGAAAAAATCAGCTTCCCCTGCTGCAGCTTTAGCAAGAGAAACCTATTGGAAAGCTGGATGTGACTGGCCTGTGAATAACGAGAGGTTCAGGCCCCTTTAATCTGCCACCTGTCTGCAGAGCTTGGTGCAGCTGAAGAAGTGCTGGGGCTTTTGGTCTTTTAGAGGAATTGAGCTGACACCCAGCAAACTAATTTCTCATTGCTCACCAGATGACTGCTAAATAAAGACAGCAAATGCATAATTTAGGGTATGCCCAGCAGAAAGAGGGAAGTGATGGTATCCAAGGCCCTGATGAGCTTTCCCATGAAACCTCACATGCATTTCTGGTCCTCTGTGACTTTAGAAGAAGCCACTGGATCTTGCTTTCCATGCTGTAGCAAAAAATTAAAATAAATAAATAAATAAAGAGTGCTGGAAGTAGGCATGCTGGTTTTCTCTGGCAGCACTGGTGAATAAGCTGGGGAGAGCTGTTAAAAGTACAGCACAGTGCTGCAGAAGCACAGAGCTACGTCTGAGTCTGGCTGGTTCGTGGATTCCTGCAGAGATGCAAAGATGTCTCATAACAGTGAAAGGGTAGAGACCAAGTGCATGGGAAATACATGTTTGATAATTTATGGCGAGGTTATTCAGGATAACATGGGGTTGATCAGGTCTCTGCCAGTTCAGTGTTCCTTTGGCAACTCTTGGAAATTGCCAGCCTGTATCAGAGCTACACTGGAGATCCATAAATAAATTACATGTTTGACTCACTTGGACATTTACATCAGTAAATAATCCACTCTTAAAGTACTGTCACTTCCCTTCTGTTGTATCACCTGATGTTGAGAACAGCCCTCTTCTGCTTCTTCCTCTGTTGTCTTTGTCATACTTCCTGCAACTTCTTTGCTCAGCCTACCAGATTCTTGCTCTGTGTAACTGTCTGTACAAGACCTTCCTCATATCTATATCAGGGCTCATCTTTGCAGCTGGCAGAGCAAGACAAACTCTGTTCAAAAACACCCCAGTGCCCTCTCCATTCCTCTGATGTAGTACCACGTTGTTCCCTTCCTTCCTTTCTGCAGAAACACGCATCTTGGCGGTCATTTCCTGGCACCCTGACCTCAGTGCTTTGACACGGTCTCCCACAGTATTCTCCTGGAGAAGCTGGCAGCCCATGGCTTGGTCAGGTACACTCTGCTGGGTTAAAAATCGTTTGGATGGCCGGGCCCAGAGAGTGGTGGTGAATGGAGTGAAATCCATGCTGGTGACAGGTCACAAGAGGTGTTCCCCAGGGGTTGGTGTTGGGTCCCATTCTCTTTAATATTGTTATTGATTGATTTGGATGAGGGAATTGAGTGCACCCTCAGTAAGTTTACAGAGGACACCAAGTTGAGGGGAAGTGTCGACCTGCCAGAGGGTAGGGAGGCCCTGCAGAGGGACCTGGACAGGTTGGGTTAATTGGCAGGAGGCCAATGGGATGAGGTTCAACATGGCTAAGTGCTGGGTCCTGCACTTTGGCCACAACAACCCCATGAAAGGCTACAGGCTTGGGGGAGAGTGGCTGGAAAGCTGTGCAGAGGAAAAACCCAATGGCAGCAAAGTGAGAGTTTAATCCTAGAACATTGGAATAAGTTTGCGTGGCCATAATAACCGAACCCTTGGGAGTGGGATAGAGCTTCTACCAGTGAATATAGTTGAAATACCAAACCCACCCATGGCCAGGCAGCTACTGCTCTTTTTCAAAAGGATACTCCTCCACTCCATAAGAGTCTGCATTTTAATAGAATCAAAAAAAGCAAACGTGCAAGGGATCCTGAGAATTAACCAGCACCTCTGTCTGGCCTGAGAGAATCTGCATACTTGTGACGAAATTCACTACTGGCCTCTAATAGGAGAGAGGTCTTAGAATGCATAGGCAACATACACATGACAGCAAAACCATAGCTCTTTCCCTCGTGTCCATGCACACATTTTCTACTCCCCATTCCCACTTTCTATTCCAGTTCTTTTTCCAGTTCTTTCCTCCTGTTGCTGGATTGTTGTGGGGTTCTGTGCTTCTTTTTTTTTTTTTTTTTTTTTTTTCCATTAACTACGTGCAATGATAGCATATTCCACATTTTCATCTTTGGGGTTCTTGGGAGCCTGATCCGGTTCAACGTTACAGTAGAGAGATTCCTCAGGGCTGCGTTGGGATTTAAAGTCCAGGGTAACATATTTTAGGTCTTTGCTGTCATCCTTGGGAGTTTCCATTCTTTCAGTGCTCTCAAGCTGTGAAAAGAAAGGGTAAGCAACTGTCAGCATGATTCAGCACCAAGACACAGCTGTTATCAAGGGAACGAGATTTTCCTAGGGTAAAGGAGAAGCCATGTAAAATGTTACCTTTGGTCATGACAGAGGTGAAAGGACAGAAAATTCTTTCCTTCATCTCCTCTCCTTGATATTTGTTACAACCTCATCTTCTAGCCTTGCTTTCTAGTCTTTGAGTCATTTCTCAGAAATTACTATAATTTGCTCCACCGTGTTTGTTTTTGTTTGTTTTGTTTCTCCCCAGTGGAGTTACCTTCCATTGCCCTCTTTCTCTCCATCTAGCAACATTCCTTTCTCTGGTGACATTAAATGCCATTTCCCCTAATGCTCACAGCCAAAAGTGAGCACCAATGCCCTCATCCCATGGGTCAGCCAGCTCCTTACAGATTATTCGTAAGGGATTTAGGTGCAGTGTGGGAAGTAAGTCACTTTCCTTACCTGCGTTGTGTCCTCTGGTTTGTCATAGATGTCCTCTGCTTGCCTGTTACCTTTGCAAAGAACCATAACCATAGGTTTTAGAAACAGAGAAATCTGTGACAATGCATGGGTATTGTCTGTGCTACAAGAGTTTGGGGAAAGGCTTTGGGATTGCCCAGTGAATGAAGTGATGGGTGTGCCAATGGGACCCATCTACCCCGAATCTGGTGAACACGTTGCCCCCACTTCACTTCTCTGAAATGTTAGGACACGTTCTGTGCATGTCTGGAGGAAAGTGGCTTTGACTCACTGTGAGAGGAGGTCATAACAAGGAGCCCCCCTTGAGGCTTCCCAGGCTGTGCATGCCTTATCTTCTCCAGGGCACAGTGAGTTGAGAATAAGCTCACTTGGAGTGGAAAAATGATGGTCGGAGAAAGACAGAATAGAAAAAGAGGCATCACCAGTTTCCACATACCTCTTCTCTTCAGCTTTCTGTGGTGCCTGATGCACAATGTTATCAAGATAATAACTACCGGGATGAGCAGGAGGTACAGGACTGTGGATATTATGATGTAGGTGCTTACACCTTGGCTAAAGCAGGAAGAGCAAAGGAGTTACCAGTGTTAGATAACAGCACGGTATGATGCTGGCGTAGCCCATTACCAAACGGGAACCAAAAAAAGGGGCAGGAATAGCTTTCATATACTTGGAAGGAGGGGATCAGGTTCTTTGGGAGGAATTCTGTCTTGATTGTTCTAACAGGCTGTGCCTTCTGAGTTTTTGCTAAACTTACTATTTGTCCCCTTAAAACAAACCACTATTTAAAGTGCAGAGCACAATTCCAGGCTCTCTGAAGCAGGTACTGCTTTTTTCATCCTAGGTTTTCCTGCACCTTGTGAACTATAAGATGATGTGTGATTGTACTCTTGGGCACTGATGTAGTATTCATGACAACAGATACCAAATGGGGAAAGAAAATCCTTGACATTTAACAGCCTGGCAAGTGAAGAATGAAATACTAGCCAAGTATTACTACACTGCTAACTATTCATGGACAGGAATAAACAAAGTCAAGACAGGCTTTGGGACAGAAACTGAGGCTTCCTATTTCTGCAAAGAGAATACCCCAAAGAATTAGGTAGGCAACTACATTTCCAGGAAGCTAGGAGATGATTTCATCTGTCCATTTCTCCCTTTGTAATTAGGCACTGGACAGGAACTGGACGAGGAGAGGTCGTCCACTGTAAGGACGCCTGTCCCACCCAGCGCCTCTGTAAGTGGGAGTCTTTGCAATGCCCAGAGGCTGCCTCCCTCAGGAAGACTGGACTGCCATGGACAGGACATCAGTAATGCTTGTCTGTGTTCAAGCTCAGAGGCTTTTTGTTGGTGTTTTTTTTTGTTTGTTTGTTTGTTTGTTTGTTTGTTTTTGGCCTTACCCTGCCTGTGTGCTGTTGCCAGGACGGTAATTTTGACTGGTGCCTGTAGTGACTGACAACGTTGTTGCAGCTGGTCCTGCAATCACAAAGAAGAGAAGAAAAATTACTGGGCTGTTGTGCATCCCCCATCTGAACGTCGCTGCCATTGCTATCATGGGTGTAACTCTGGGCGTGCTTTCACAGACAACATAGATGAGGTGCCCAGGCTGTGTCCCATGTCTTCAGGAGCTCCCGGGAGCAGGCAAAGTAACAGAAGGATGGAAAGGTGGGAGGGAGAGGGAAGGGCTGCCAAGGAGCCCTGCTCCATGAACCCAGCCCAGGAGGTGGCAGAAGTGCTGGAAGTGCAGGCAGAAAAGCTCCCTGGCAGAGATCTGCAGGTAGCAGGGAGGTGTTGAACAGCCCCGTGCAGAAGCAGACAGAAGCTTGTGCAGACAGAGAGACAGCGATGGAGAGAGGGTTGGATTCTCAGTGGTGGCGCACGGGTCAGGAGGGACAGCAAGCAGGGGAGGCGAGGCCAAAATCTGCCAGCAGGTACTCACGCTTGGCCACAGAGAGCCGGACCTCCATTATCCGGGTGAATGGAATGGATGTGTAGGGCCTGTAGAGTGCACACCAGTACACACCAGAGTCCTGTGCCTGCAGCTTCTCCATGGTGATGGTGATGGTCCTTTCCTGGGTGTCATCCTGGATCCAGGCTCTGCCTTTCTGGGCTTTGCTGATGCTCAGTGTGTTCGGGAAATCTGTGCTCACCACAAGATCACATGTGCCAGTCTGACCTGGATATCGGCACCAGGCTTTTCTTCCAGAGCTATAGCCCAGTTTACGGTACGGGCACTGCACAGAGAGACTGTCCAACTCCAGCTTGTGCAACTCTGCAGAACAACAAACCTGGTGTCTGACCCACAATCTGGGGCACAAGGGCATCCATCTCCTGGCACAAGCTGGGCACCTGGGCCAGGCTGTGGCCGTCAGCCTGAGCAGGGCACTTAGGGGAGGGCCGCAGGGAGCCGTGCGCCTCGGGGACAGCGGTGTCTGCAGGGCTCCTTCACCCCGTGCTCTGCAAGCAGGGAAGGCAGCGAGCAAGGGGATGAGGGTGGGGGCTGATGGATGGGGTCGGGGGAAGCCACTCGCTGTGTGCGGGAGGAGGATGGAGCAGGGCAGCAGTGATGTTGCCTCCCGACAGGACAGGAGTTTGCGTGGGGAAAAGGTACTCACCCTTGAAAACAGTCAGTGAGATCCACTTCAGTGGAACATAGCTTTCCCAGCCTTTCCTATAAGCACAGTAATATGTGCCTGAATCCTCTACCTGGAGGTCAGTCATGGTGATGGAAAAATTCCTGTGTATGGGGTCATCCTGTATGGTAATGTACCCCTGGTTGGCTCGTTCTGTGTGCGCGTATAGTACTTGTGCCGATTATTGCCACTTGAAGCTGACATCGTTGATCTATCCAGCGGCACCAGGACTTCAGATCCCGGTACTCACGCTCTGCTGGGTAAGGACACAGCACAGAGAGGTTGCTTCCTTCGCGCTGGCTCAGCTCCCCAGGTGTTTGGGCTTGGAGACCTGCGAATACCAGAAGTGGTGAAGGAGAAGGGAGCTGGTGCAGGGCTGTCGTGGGCTGTGAGCCTGGAGGAGCCAGGTGTGGGGTGTTGTGAAGTGGGGCTTGTTCTTCCCTTCCCTTCCCTTCCCTTCCCTTCCCTTCCCTTCCCTTCCCTTCCCTTCCTTCCCTTCCCTTCCCTTCCCTTCCCTTCCCTTCCCTTCCCTTCCCTTCCCTTCCCTTCCCTTCCCTTCCCTTCCCTTCCCTTCCCTTCCCTTCCCTTCCCTTCCCTTCCCTTCCCTTCCCTTCCCTTCCCTTCCCTTCCCTTCCCTTCCCTTCCCTTCCCCAGCCCCCAGGACAGCCGGTATCGGTATCGCTGTCCCACCACTGCAGGGCCCTGCAGGCAGCAGGACTGGGGACGGGTGTCCCATGGGAAGCCCCAGCCATGCCCAGCCCTCCTCGTACCTGGGAAGCAGAGCGGCAGCAGGAGGACGACTCGCAGCTCCATGGCCTCCCCAACGCGCCCCGTTGCAACGCGTCTGCCCGGTGAAGCCTCCTGCCTCCCACTGACGCCGCTGGAGGAAGTGCCTGAGGTCTTGCCTTCCCACGGAAGTCCTTCACCACGTTTTGCAAGGCCACCGAATAACAAGAGCAGCTCAGGGTGCGTTAGGGGAAGTGGCCGAGAGCAGAGCACAGCCCATCCTGACGCCAGAGGCACATTGCTGCTCTCCCTTGGCCTGTTGTCACGCTCTGCCCTCATGCCAGTGGCAACAGGGCACTCCTTTGGCATTTCCAAGGCTTGGGAGATGGGGCAGGTCCTTTGCTGTGGCCCTGCCCTTCCCTCTGTGCTGCCCAGGTGCCCCCTGCCCAGGCCCTTGCCCAAAGTCCCCTCAAGGCGTGGTGGCAGAGAGGCCGGGCTCTGTGCAGGGAGCCTCCTCTCCATGCCGTGCCTCCTGGGGCTCTCCTCCACCACAGCCAGTCCCCTCGTTGTCCATGCCTTGCCTGGCACCGAGCCCGTGGGCTGCCTGCCCACGCTGTGCCAAGCTGGAGGAACCAAACGGAGCCACTGGGCTTTTGCACAGTTTATTTGACTGGAACAACCGCACAGGGCCCTGGTGCAGGGGCCCATGGGGAAGTCCTGAGGGTTTGCAGGGAAGTGAGGGAAGTGTGGGCACTCTGCGGTGAGGCCGTGCTTGCTGCACCAGCTCTGAGGCAAGAAGTGGCGATGTGCTGCCCCTGGCAGGGCTGGCGGGCAGTGGCAGAGTCCGGCCTGGGCCGCGTGGCAGGGTTTGCCAGGCGTGGGCTGCTTTCTGCCCTGAGGAGCCCCAGGAGTTGCTGTGCTGAGAGCCCGGGGCGAAAGCGGGCCTCGGTTCGTGGGGGAGGCCGGCCTGGGTTCTCTGGAGCTCGGGGGTGACAGCTTGCAGGGTGGGATTTCCCTCTGGACATGTCTCCAGGCTTGGAAACAGAGATCCTTTTGGTCCCAGGTCTGGCATCAGCTCCTTTCCTCCTCAGGCAGCTGTCCAGGGCTGCCTTCTGCTGCCCTGCATTTCTGAAAGAAAGAGGGAGGCCAGCGTCCCCTTCTCTGAAGAAAAACGAGGAGCAAGATGACCAGCACCTTATTGATGAAGAATCCTAGGAGGGCCCAAAGGGTGAAACTCCATAAGCTGTCAAGGAAACAGAATGGAAAGGGAGCAGATCAGCCCATGGAAGAGAAAAGGCCTTCACCCAGAAGGAGAGGCTGTCCTTCGTCCTTCCTTCTCAGTATCTGTTTCAACGACACAGCCAGTGGGACCGAGCACACCCTCAGCAAGGCTGCAGATGACACCAAGCTGGGTGGTGCAGTGCATACAGCAGAAGGAAGGGATGCCATCCAAAGGGACCTGGTCAGGCTGGAGGAGTGGGCCCACGTGAACCTGATGAGGTTCAACAAGTCCAGGTGCAAGATGCTGCACTTGGGTTGGGGCAATCCCGGACATGAGGACCGGCTGGGAGAAGAACTCACTGAGAGCAGCCCTGGGGAGAAGGACTTGGGGTTCAGGTGGGTGAAAAGCTCGACATAAGCCAGCAGTGAGCTTGCAGCCTGGAAGGCCAACTGCATCCTGGGCTGCATCACCAGAGGAGAGAATCATAGAATCATAGAATGAGGGAGGGGATGGTCCCCATCTGCACTGCCCTGGTGAGGACCCACCTGGAGTGCTGCGTCCAGGTCTGGGGCCCCCAGCACCAGAAGGATGTGGGGCTGTTAGAGTGGGTCAAGAGGAGGGCCACAAAGATGATCAAGGGGCTGGAGCAGCTGTCCTACAAGGAAGGACAGAGCTGGGGCTGTTCAGCACACAGAAGAGAAGGCTCTGGGGTGACCTCATTGTGATTTTCAGTACTTAGAAGGGGGCTTGTAAAAGGGATGGAGAGCACCTTTTGCTCAATCAGATAATGACAGGACAAGAGGGAATGGTTTGAAACAAAAAGAGGGGAGATTTCAATTAGAGGTTAGGAGGCAGCTTCTTCACTCAGAGGGTGCTGAGGCACTGGAACAGCTTGCCCAGAGAGGTTCTGGATGCCCCATCCTTGGAGGTGTTCAGCATCAGCTTGGACAAGGCCCTGAGCAGCCTGATCTAGTGGGTGGCAGTCCCTGCCCATGGCAGGGAGGGTTAACAAGATGATCCTTAAGGTCCTTTCCAGCCCAAGTCATTCTATGATTCTGCTGGAGAATCTCCGTAGAAATGGGGTTTCAAATACACTTCCAAAAGTGGCCTCCTCTTCCCAAGACATATTCTAATTTATCCCTTCCACACTACAAGAACTTGAAAATATCCTTTCCTCACACAACATGGAAATAAGGAAAGGCAAAGAGTGCAGATAGTGACAGTGACCATGTGGATTCATTGCCACATGGCAGTGAGTGAGGACAGAAGGCAGTTCCCAGGAAGCTAGGACTTGATTTCATCTGTCCACTTCTCCCTTTGTAATTAGGCTCTGGGCAGGAACTGGAAGAGGAGAGGTCGTCCACTGTAAGGACGCCTGTCCCACCCAGCTCCTCTGTAAGCGGGAGTCTTTGCAATGCCCAGACTGCGTCCCCCAGGAAGACAGGACTGCCATGGGACAGGACATCAGTAATGCTTGTCTGTGTCCATTCACATAGGTTTTTGGTGGTTTTTTTTTTTTTGTTTGTTTGTTTGTTTGTTTTTTGGGGGGGGGGGGTGGGGGTTTGGCCTTACCCTGCTTGTGTGCTGTTGCCAGGAAGGTAATTTTGACCGGTGCCTGACAATGTTGTTGCAACTCGTCCTGCAATCACAAAGAAGAAGAGAAGAACAATTACTGGGCTGTTGTGCATCCCCCATCTGAACGTCCCTGCCATTGCTACCATGGGTGTAACTCCGGGCGTGATGTGACAGCCAACACAGACGAGGCGCCCAGACTGCGACCTGTGTCTTCAGGAGCTCCCGGGAGCAGGCGAAGCAGCAGAAGGATGGAAAGGTGGGAGGGAGAAGCAAGGAGCTGCCAAGGAGCCCTGCTCCATGAACCCAGCCCAGGACGTGGCAGAAGAGCTGGAAGTGCAGGCAGAAAAGCTCCCTGGCAGAGATCTGCAGGTAGCAGGGAGGTGTTGAACAGCCCTGTGCAGAAGCAGACAGAAGCTTGTGCAGACAGAGAGACAGAAATGGAGAGAGGGTTGGGTTCTTGGTGGTGCGGCACAGGTCAGGAGGGAGAGCAAGCAAGGGAGGCGAGGCCAAAATCTGTCAGCAGGTACTCACGCTTGGCCACAGAGAGCCGGACCTCCATTATCGGGGTGAAATTAATGGTTGCGTTGGGCGTGTAGAATGCACACCAGTACACGGCAGAGTCCTGTGCCTGCAGCTTCTCCATGGTGATGGTGACGGTCCTATTCTGGGTGTCATCCTGGATCGAGGCTCTGCCTTCCTTGCCTTTGCTGATACCCCGTGTGTAAGTGGTATCTGTGCTCACCACGAGTTCACACCTGCCAGTCTGACCTACAGCTCGGCACCAGGCTTTTCTTTCGGAGCGGTAGCCCAGGGTATGGTATGGGCACTGCACAGAGAGACTGTCCAACTCCAGCTTGTGAAACTCTGCAGAACAACAAACCTGGTGTCTGACCCGCAATCTGGTGCACAAGGGGATCCATCTCCTGGCATGATCCGGGTACCTGGGTCAGGCTGTGGCCGTCAGCCCAAACAGGGCACTTTGGGCAGGGCCACGGGGAGCCGTGAGCCTCATGGCCAGGGGGGTCTGCAGGGCTCCTTCTCCCTGTGCTCTGCAAGCAGGGAAGGCGGCAAGCGAGGAGACGAGGGTGGGGGCTGATAGATGAGGTCAGGGGAAGCCGCTCGCTGTGTGCGGGAAGAGTATGGAGCAGGGCAGCAGTGACGTTGCCTCCTGACAGGACTGGAGTTTGCATGGGGAAAAGGTACTCACCCTTGAAAACATTCAGTGAGATCCTCTTCAGTAAAACATAGCTTTGACTGTAAGCACAGTAATATGTGCCTGAATCCTCTACCTGGAGGTCAGTCATGGTGATGGAAAAATTCTTGTGTATGGGGTCATCCTTTATGGTAAAGTGCCCCTGTCTGGCCCGGTATGTGTAGAAGTGTGTTCTTGTGCCGCTTGTTGCCACTTGAAGCTGACATCCTTGATCTGTCCAGCGGCACCAGGACTTCAGTTCCCGGTACTCATCCTCTGCTGTGTAATGACACAGCACAGAGAGGTTGCTTCCTTCGCGCTGGCTCAGCTTCTGAATTGTTTGGGCTTGGAGACCTGCGAATACCAGAAGTGGTGAGGGAGAGGGGAGCTGGTGCAGGGCTGTCGTGGGCTGTGAGCCTGGAGGAGCCAGGTGTGGGGTGTTCTGAAGTGGGGCTTGTCCTTCCCTTCCCTTCCCTTCCCTTCCCTTCCCTTCCCTTCCCTTCCCTTCCCTTCCCTTCCCTTCCCTTCCCTTCCCTTCCCTTCCCTTCCCTTCCCTTCCCTTCCCTTCCCTTCCCTTCCCTTCCCTTCCCTTCCCTTCCCTTCCCTTCCCTTCCCTTCCCTTCCCTTCCCTTCCCTTCCCTTCCCTTCCCTTTCCCAGCCCCCAGGACAGCCGGTATCGGTATCGCTGTCCCACCACTGCAGGGCCCTGCAGGCAGCAGGACTGGGGACGGGTGTCCCATGGGAAGCCCCAGCCATGCCCAGCCCTCCTCGTACCTGGGAAGCAGAGCGGCAGCAGGAGGACGACTCGCAGATCCATGGCCTCCCCAACGTGCCCCGTTGCAACGCGTCTGCCCAGTGAGCCCTCCTGCCTCCCACTGACGCCGCTGGAGGAAGTGCCGTGAGGTCTCGCCTTTCCACGGAAGTCCTTCACCAGTGTTTTGCAACAACACTGAATAACAAGAGCAGCTCAGGATTCATTTGGGGAAGTGGCAGGGAGCAGAGCACGGCCCGTCCTGACGCCAGAGGCACATTTGCTGCTCTCGCTTGGCCCCTGTCAACGGGGCACTCCTTTGGCCATTCCGAGGCTTGGGAGATGGGGCAGGTCCTTTGCTGTGGCCCTGCCCTTCCCTCTGTGCTCCCCAGGTGCCCCCTGCCCAGGCCCTTGCCCAAAGTCCCCTCAAGGCGTGGTGGCAGAGAGGCCAGGCTCTGTGCAGGGAGCCTCCTCTCCATGCCATGCCTCCTGGGGCTCTCCTCCACCACAGCCAGTCCCCTCGTTGTCCATGCCATGCCCGGCACCGAGCCCGTGGGCTGCCTGCCCACGCTGTGCCAAGCTGGAGGAACCAAACGGAGCCACTGGGCTTTTGCACAGTTTATTGGACGTGAGACAACCGCACAGGGCCCTGGTGCAGGGGCCCATGGGGAAGTCCTGAGGGTTTGCAGGGAAGTGAGGGAAGTGTGGGCGCTCTGTGGTGAGGCCGTGCTTGCTGCACCAGCTCTGAGGCAAGAAGTGGCGATGTGCTGCCCCTGGCAGAGCCGGCGGGCAGGTGGCAGAGCCTGGCCTGGGCCGCGTGGCAGGGTTTGCCAGAAGTGGGCTGCTTTCTGCCCTGAGGAGCCCCAGGAGTTGCCGTGCTGAGAGCCCGGGGGAAAGCGGGCCTCGGTTCGTGGGGGAGGCCGGCCTGGGTTCTCTGGAGCTCAGGGTAACAGCTTGCAGGTTGGGATTTCCCTCTGGACATATCTCCAGGCTTAGGAAACAGAGATCCTTTTGGTCCCAGGTCTGGCGTCAGCTCCTTTCCTCCTCAGGCAGCTGTCCAGGGCTGCCTTCTGCTGTCCTGAGTTTCTGAAAGAAAGAGGGAGGCAGGCTCCTCAGTGACATCGGCCCATGGAGAGAAGCGTATGGAGGAGGGCTGCTCATCCTTTCTGGAGCATTAAGTGACCGCATCACACCTCTCGCTCCCCAGTTGGGAGCCGTGGACAAACAGCACGTGCAAGTGCCACCCTGGGTCTTCTCTGGAGCCCAGGTGTGCTTTTGCCATTGTGGGTGTGTGGTTACCTCTATTCTGCAGCATCCCCTTCTCTGAAGAAAAACGAGGAGCAAGATGACCAGCACCTTATTGATGAAGAATCCTAGGAGGGCCTGAAGGGTGAAGCTCCATAAGCTGTCAAGGAAACAGAAAGGAAAGGGAGCAGATCAGCCCATGGAAGAGAAAAGGTCTTCACCCAGAAGGAGAGGCTGTCCTTCATCCTTCCTTCTCAGTATCTGTATCAATGACACAGCCAATGGGACCGAGCACACCCTCAGCAAGGCTGCAGATGACACCAAGCTGGGTGGTGCAGTGCATACAGCAGAAGGAAGGGATGCCATCCAAAGGGACCTGGGCAAAAGTGGGCCCATGTGAACCTCATGAGGTTCAACAAGTCCAGGTGCACTTGGGCTGGGGCAATCCCAGACATGAAGACCGGCTGGGAGCAGAACTCACTGAGAGCAGCCCTGGGGAGAAGGACTTGGGGTTCAGGTGGGTGAAAAGCTCGACATGAGCCAGCAGTGAGCTTGCTGCCAGGAAGGCCAACTGCATCCTGGGCTGCATCACCAGAGGACAGGGCAGCAGGGGACAGAGGGGATGGTTCCCCTCTGCTTTGCCCTGGTGAGGTCCCACCTGGAGTGCTGCGTCCAGGTCTGGGGCCCCCAGCACCAGAAGGATATGGGGCTGTTAGAGTGGGTCAAGAGGAGGGCCACAAAGATAATCAAGGGGCTGGAGCAGCTGTCCTACAAGGACAGAGCTGGGGCTGTTCAGCACACAGAAGAGAAGGCTCTGGGGTGACCTCATTGTGGTTTTCAGTATTTAGAGGGGGCTTGTAAAAGGGATGGAGAGCACCTTTTGCTCAATCAGATAATGACAGCACAAGGGGGAACGGATTTAGATAAAAAGAGGGGAGATTTAAATTAGAGGTTAGGAGGCAGTTCTTCACTCAGAGGGTGCTGAGGCACTGGAACAGCTTGCCCAGAGAGGTTCTGGATGCCCCATCCTTGGAGGTGTTCAGCATCAGGTTGGACAAGGCCCTGAGCAACCTTATCTAGTGGATGGTGTCCCTGCCCATGGCAGGGAGGGTTAACAAGTTGATCCTTAAGGTCCTTTCAAGCCCAAGTCATTCTATGATTCTGTGGGAGAATCTCTGTAGAAATGGGGTTTCAAATACACTTCGAAAAGTGGCCTTCTCTTCCCAAGACATATTCTAGTTCGTCCCCTTCCATACTACAAGAACTTGAAAATATCCTTTCCTCACACAACATGGAAATAAGGAAAGGCAAAGAGTGCAGAAAATGAGAGTGACCAGGTGGATTCATTGCCACATGGCAATGAGTGAGGACAGAAGGCAGTTCCCAGGAAGCTAGGAGATGATTTCATCTGTCCACTTCTCCCTTTGTAATTAGGCTCTGGGCAGGAACTGGGAGAGGAGAGGTCGTTCACTGTAAGGACGCCTGTCCCACCCAGCTCCTCTGTAATCAGGAGTCTTTGCAATGCCCAGAGGCTGCCTCCCCCAGGAAGACAGGACTGCCATGGACAGGACATCAGTAATGCTTGTCTGTGTTCGAGCTCAGAGGCTTTCTTTTGGCCTTACTGTGCTTGTGTGCTGTTGCCAGGAGGGTAATTTTGACTGGTTCCTGTAGTGACTGACAACGTTGTTGCAGCTGGTCCTGCAATCAAAAAGAAGAAGAGAAGAACAATTACTGGGCTGTTGTGCATCCCCCATCTGAACGTCCCTGCCATTGCTACCATGGGTATAACTCTATGCATGACGTGACAGAGAACACAGACGAGGTGCCCAGGCTGCGACCTGTGTCTTCGGGAGCTCCCGGGAGCAGGCGAAGCAGCAGAAGGATGGAAAGGTGGGAGGGAGAAGCAAGGAGCTGCCGAGGAGCCCTGCTCCATGAACCCAGCCCAGGACGTGGCAGAAGTGCTGGAAGTGCAGGCAGAAAAGCTCCCTGGCAGAGATCTGCAGGTAGCAGGGAGGTGTAGAACAGCCCTGTGCAGAAGCAGACAGAAGCTTGTGCAGACAGAGACAGAGATGGAGAGAGGGTCAGGTTCTCAGTGGTGGGGTACAGGTCAGGAGGGAGAGCAAGCAGGGGAGGCGAGGCCAAAATCTGCCAGCAGGTACTCACGCTTGGCCACAGAGAGCCGGACCTCCATTATCCGGGTGAATGGAATGGATGTGTGGGGCCTGTAGAGTGCACACCAGTACACGCCAGAGTCCTGTGCCTGCAGCTTCTCCATGGTGATGGTGACGGTCCTTTCTGGGTGTCATCCTGGATTGAGGCTCTGCCTTTCTGGCCTTTGTTGATACTCCATGTGTAAGTGGTATCTGTGCTCACCACATGTTCACACCTGCCAGTCTGACCTGCATATCGGCACCAGGCTTTTCTTCCAGAGCTATAGCCCAGGTCACGGTACGGGCACTGCACAGAGAGACTGTCCAACTCCAGCTTGTGGAACTCTGCAGAATAACAAACCTGGTGTCTGACCCACAATCTGGGGCACGAGGGATCCATCTCCTGGCGGGATCCAGGCACCTGGGCCAGGCTGTGGCCGTCAGCCCGGGCAGGGCACTTTGGGCAGGGCTGCAGGGAGCTGTGCACCTCTAGGCCAGTGGGGTCTGCAGGGCTTCTTCACCCCGTGCTCTGTGAGCAGGGAAGGTGGAGAGTGAGGGGATGAGGGTGGGGGCTGATGGATGTGATTGGGGGAAGCCGCTCACTGTGTGCGGGAGGAGGATGGAGCGGGGCAGCAGTGATGTTGCCTCCTGACAGGACTGGAGTTTGCGTGAAGAAAAGGTACTCACCCTTGAAAACATTCAGCAAGATCCACTTCAGTGGAACATAGTCTTGCCAGCCTTTCCTATAAGCACAGAAATATGTGCCTGAATCCTCTACCCGGAGGTCAGTCATTGTGATGGAAAAATTCCTGTGTATGGGGTCATCCTGTATGGTAATGTACCCCTGGCTGGCCCGTTCTGTGTACGGCTCTGTTCTTGTGTCAATTATTGCCACTTGCAAGCTGACATCCCTGATCTATCCAGCGGCACCAGGACTTCAGATCCTGGTACTCATGCTCTGCTGGGTAATGACACAGCACAGAGAGGTTGCTTCCTTCGCGCTGGCTCAGCTCCTCACGTGTTTGGGCTTGGAGACCTGCGAATACCAGAAGTGGTGAGGGAGAGGGGAGCTGGTGCAGGGCTGTCGTGGGCTGTGAGCCTGGAGGAGCCAGGTGTGGGGTGTTCTGAAGTGGGGCTTGTCCTTCCCTTCCCTTCCCTTCCCTTCCCTTCCCTTCCCTTCCCTTCCCTTCCCTTCCCTTCCTCCTTCCCTTCCCTTCCCTTCCCTTCCCTTCCCTTCCCTTCCCTTCCCTTCCCTTCCCTTCCCTTCCCTTCCCTTCCCTTCCCTTCCCTTCCCTTCCCTTCCCTTCCCCAGCCCCCAGGACAGCCGGTATCGCTATCGCTGTCCCACCACTGCAGGGCCCTGCAGGCAGCAGGACTGGGGACGGGTGTCCCATGGGAAGCCCCAGCCATGCCCAGCCCTCCTCGTACCTGGGAAGCAGAGCGGCAGCAGGAGGACGACTCTCAGATCCATGGCCTCCCCAACGCGCCCTGTTGCAACCGTCTGCCCGGTGAGCCCTCCTGCCTCCCACTGACGCCGCTGGAGGAAGTGCCTGAGGTCTTGCCTTCCCACGGAAGTCCTTCACCATGTTTTGCAAGGCCACCGAATAACAAGAGCAGCTCAGGATTCATTAGGGGAAGTGGCCGGGAGCAGAGCACGGCCCATCCTGACACCAGAGGCACATTGCTGCTCTCCCTTGGCCGTTGTCACGCTCTGCCCTCATGCCAGTGGCAACAGGGCACTCCTTTGGCCTTTCCAAGGCTTGGGAGATGGGGCAGGTCCTTTGCTGTGGCCCTGCCCTTCCCTCTGTGCTGCCCAGGTGCCCCCTGCCCAGCCCCTTGCCCAAAGTCCCCTCAAGACGTGGTGGCAGAGAGGCTGCAGCTCTTTTGTAACCATGTGGGTTTCTCTTTCCACATGTGGTCAAATAGCAGCATTCCTTTTCTTTTCTGTCTGCCACTTTCTATGTCAAGATTTTTTTTCCTTGCCCTATAATGTTACAGCATCTTAGTGTCTTTTTATTATTATTATGATTTATTTATTTATTTATTTTTTTTGTTTGTGAAGAACTTTGGCACGTAGTTTTGCAACTGTGAGATAAGCTAGGTTATCTTTTTCCGCTCTTACTCACTTGCTTTGCTGATAAAGAAAGGGGGTTCTTTTGTCACTTAGGGCAAAAGTGGACATGGCCTGGCAGAATCTGTCCTTTTCTACCCTTTGGTGCTCAGACTGGCCCATGCTGCCCCTTTTACCTGGCAGTGAGGGACAGCTCACCTGTTTTGTTTTATTTGTTCCTCATTACTGACAGCTGTTTCAGTGGAGTTAAAGGAGTCTTCAGAAAAGCAGTAGTAAAAGATGTTTGCTGTTTCACCTCCAAGTAAAATGCATTCGGAGGAAAGACTGACCTTGTTGGTGACAGGAAACAAAGTGGAACTGTGTGGACAGTCAAGTGTGCAGCTGCTGAGGTGGCGTACTGACAGCGAGGTCTCTATAGGCATGGCTGAAGTGATTTTGAGTACAGGGGAAATAGTGGAAATATTGAAATAAGCCATACAAAGCAACTCCTGGCATGGCTGACACTCAGTTGGGTGTGAAAATGGACAGCTAACCATGGCCTCCTGGCTCTGCATGTCCTTTTGATTCCCAGTATGATTCAGGAACTGGAGATGATATGGCGAGGGAGCTGGGGTTCACAAGCAGCTGAATAGATAAGATGAACTATGGAGTATAGAGAGGAGAAAATGGGTGGAGGAGGTGGGGCACGAAGTGAATTCCTCTGCTAGGAAAGCGAGGAGAAAGGAGTTTCTCCAATTAAAAAAAAAAAATGCATTCACTTATGAAAACAGCCAGCTTAATTTCCTTTATTTGGGAGAGCTGAGAATGATCACAAATGAAAATGATCGCTAGTATTCTCCACTGTCTTGTACTGTGACACTGTGATCTTTTTGATGGTGATGTTGAGAACTCCCTTCTAGATGTTATCATTTATGGTGTATCTTTCTTTTTCAGTGTTATTCTCAGAGGCGCTGGTCATCTTTTCTGTACTGACCAGGACACTCGGCAGAGACAGTCTCCATCTCCCTGGTTGCATATCCTTGGGTTTCTGGATAAGGTCAAACTGGTTAGTAGTGTCCAGGTAAAACATCCAATTGCACCGGTTTCCCACTATTAGAATAAGCACAATATTGTAAGCCAGTTCACAGACACTTTAGCTATGGGAGGGTCGAATTGACCTGGGATACTAAGTAAAAGAAATTCCAAATATTTTGGTCTCTTACAAAATTTAGAATAATAAAACTAAAACTATGCCTCCAAATAAATCAAAGCATATTGCAACAGAAACCTGTGGAGTCTGTACTCTGAGTTAGACAGCTAAGTTGGTGATCAGAGATAAACAGCCAAGACAGAGAAAGATCTGGGTCACCTTATATATAGAAATGACTAAAACAACTTTTTGGAAAGGAAAGGAAAGGACAGGGATGATAATGCAGGAGTGTATAAAATTGGGAATAGCATGGAAAGAGCACAGGAGCAATAATTCATTGTCTTACAAGAAGCAAGTCACTAGCTAGAATACAAGGAAAAAAGGAAATTTTCCATGCATGCATGTATGCATAAAGTGTGGAGCTCACTGCCACAGGATGTTCACGTACCAAAAGTTTTTATGTGCTAGCAGAACAAATGGAAGAATTAAAGAGATAAAAGAATTTAGTCATTGCTCTTATAATAAAAATGCCCTCTGCAGGGAATTGCTGCAGGCTAGGAGAGTATTCTGGACAACTGTTTCTTCATGCCTCTCTGTTTTTATACTCTTTCTTAACTAATTATCTGCTTTAGCCACTGTTGGAGACCTTTGATCTGACCTACTATGGCTATTGTGATTCCTAAATAACCTGGGAGAGAGTACTACAAACCACTGAAAAGCAGAAAGAAATGAGGTAGAAATCTACAAAATGCCCCGCATTTTCCTCAGAAAGAAATAATCACTCTTAGAAACAGACAGCTTAATCTCAGTTATTCAGGAAAAAATGAGAATGTGCATAGTGTGGACACCAGCACAATACCGAGTCCTGAACCTGCAGCTCCTGCATTGTGACAGTGATCATCTCCTTCTGGGTGTCATCAAGCACCGTGCTTCTCTCTGTACAAACCTTGTTGAGATATGATGATAGACGGTAATCAGTGATGACTAAGGTATCATATTCATCTCTGTCTTTCCTTCGGCACCAGGCTCTCCTCACATCGCTGTAGTTCTGGATGTTACAGGGACGTATGACAGAGGGTGGTACTGGACCACTGCAAAGCATAAGGAGCACAGTATAAATCCTGGCTAAGAGACACGATGACACACATCTTCCACAAACTACATGCCCACTATGGGATAAAGTCTTCACAGGTGAAATCCTGTCCCTGATTTCAGCCATGTCCCAGCAGAACTAAAGGGAATGGCCTCAAGATGCAACAGAGGAAGTTCAGTTGGGAAATGAGGAGACATTTCTTCTCAGAAAGAGTGGTCAGGTGTTGGGACGGGTTGCCCAGGGAGGTGGTGGAGTCACCGTCCCTGGGGGTGTTCAAGGAGAGGTTGTGCCTGGCGCTTAGGGATGTGGTTTAGTGGGTGATAGTGGTGGTAGGGGGGTGGTTGGACCAGATGACCTTGGAGGTCTTTTCCAACCCTAATGATTCTGTGATTCTTTTCCCACATCGTCCTGAGTTCTGAGAAGAAGAAGCTGCTGGATTTAGGTGCAGCAGCAGTTTTTTGATAGAAGGACTCCACCTCTCCTTTCCTGTTACCACCACAGCAGAGCAGGGAGAAGCATATCAATGTTCACACCTGAGTGGCTTCAGCACATTAGCAAATGTGTTAATATAAAACTCCTGCTAGGGAGAAGTTTTTCACTTTTTCTGACTGTGGAAGAATCTAGCAAGCTAGCAATTGCTGGGTAAATTCTTAGGTCCCCTTATCTTGAGGGGTGTTGTTGGTGAGAGAAAAAAAAATAAATCCTGCAAGAAATTTTGAAAGAATGTAAAATTGAGGTAAGTCTTACAATAACTTGACCTTTTTTCATAGAAGTGGAGACAAATGAGACTAATGCAACTTTTTTTTTTGTTATTTTTTTTTCTGCTTAAGAGCATGTGCCTGTTCTTGAAGAGGAAACTGCACCCTGTGTGACTTGGCTCCTGGGCCTGGAGAAGCCAGAATCTCTATGTAATAGGAACTGGAGTTGACCCTCTTCCTTTCCCAGCAGGGCAGGGAAATTCTCTGTCTGAAGAGAAACTTGGTTTTGTGGTTAAACTTTCAGGAACTTCTTCTTCTAATGCTGGAATACTATGCGTTGTACAGGATCTTAGATAAATGCAGGAGAAAAATTCTACCCAGGATCCCTTTGCCTCTCCTCCTGCTGCATCCCTTCCTTACCTAGAAAAGAGAAGAGCAGAAGCAGGAGGAATCATAACTCTGTGCCTGGCTGGAGCCGAGAGAGAGGGCAGTGCTGAAGGCAGATCAGAGCAATAGCAGTTACCTTCTCTCTGAACCCTCCTATCCCACACTGGCATTGTTAGAGGAAGTGACTGAGCTTTGTGGCTTACTACTTGGCTCAGCACAGAAATCTTTCACTACAGTTTAACAACCAAATTCATACTTGAGTAATTTAATTGTCTTCTGAACTGGCTAAATCCTATTGATAAGGACATCGAGGTGTTAGAATTCAAGGACAAGCTGTTGTCTTTGAGAGACCCCTGGGACAGCCTCAGAAAGAATGCTGACACTTGCACTAGCAACATCATTAAAGTCAGCCGGTCCTTGGCCTCAGAATTATAGAGTAGTTCAGTTGGAAGGAGTCTATGAAGCTCATCAAGTCCAACTGCCTGAGGACTTCAGGGCTACTCAAAAGTTAAAGCATATTATTGAGGACATCATCCAAAATGCCTCTTGAACGTCACCCGGCGTGGGCAGCCACTACCTCTCTAGAAAGCCTGTTCCAGTGTCTGACCACCCTCACAATAAAGAAATTTTTATTATTGTCTGGTCTGAACCTCCTCTGGCACAGCTTTGTGTTGTTCCCATGTGTCCTGTCATCAGTTAATGGGGAGAAGGGACCGTTACCTCCGTGTTCCTTCCTCAGGAAGGTGCAGAGAGCAATGAGGCTGCCTTTGAGCCTTCTCTTCTCCAGACCGGACAACCCAAGTGTCTTCAGCCCTGGTGCTCCGCAGCCTTGGCTTCAACCCTGTGGAGGTATGGGGAGGAGGAAGATGTGGTGGGTGCAGTGCAGCCTGTGTTTGTGCAGCCACTGGGCAGAGCTAATGGAGGGAATTCAGCTCTTCCACAGCCACCTCTGCCTCGGGTGGCTGCCTTGGGAAGCACAAGCAGTGGCAGGGTTTACTTGTCTTGTACTTACTCTCATTCTAGCTGTTGCAGGGACAGAGCAGAGGGACAGTCCTGCTGCTGCTCCCCAGACATCTTGTGCTTGCCACGGTGGGAACATTGCTCCAGTTGGTGTGGCCTGGCAGATTCCCTCCCCTTGAAATCACCGTGCCTTTCTCTGCCCTTCAAGACAGTGACAAAAACAAAATAAAGTGGCAGTAAATT